CGAAACACCAAAGATTCTATGTGTTGGCTTACTCGCGTCGACACAATCATTTGCAAAAATTAGATGACATGCAGCACCTCAATCCTTGGTCTGCCCGTAAGTCCACTTTGAAGCGAGCCGGCGTGCTGCAGAAGCCAGCCAGCCGCAAATATAAGTGTAGGGTCAAGAAGCAAGCCGTCTTGAAGAGACCCGCACAGAAATGATTTGATGATGTGGACTAGAAGATATTTCCAACATCTTCCCAAACCCAAACTCTTCCGCCATCATTTTGCAATTCCGTCATTCGTTGGTGCAATGCATCAAATCAAAGGTGCCAGAGCGGTTCCGCTTCAAAATCTCTCACAGCTGTCTCGCTCGTCGGACAAAAAAGAGAAGATGCACGCACTGAATCGTTACTGCTTGCTCATGAAATCTTCCACGTCTCAATGCCATAATCAGCAATAGATTGCAACACGCCATACAAGAAATTGTCCATGTGAATACACATATTGTTTAAATATGTATAACCTAGAACTGCTAAGACGCAACCCCTTGTAACATCCAAATAATGGATTTCCATAAATCAGAGAAGCAAAATGAAGCACCGGAAAAAAACATAGATTGACATTAACGTTTCGGAGTCTGGGTACGAAATTTCTTCTTTCCATTTGGTACTTTCTGAACCTTCATGCCTTGGTCCTCTTTTTCTTGGCCTTTGTTTCATCAGGTGGCTTGCAGCTGGTGTTCAGCTCATCTTTCTTTTCGTGATCTTCCTTTCAAGACTCCTGCAACCATATCATATTTGATTCTCTAAGGCACTGTCATATCTCCACTTCTATCGCACTGGCCTCCACTCTATCGACTAGCATTCTCTATATTGCTCTGCCATCCCATTGCAGTGACATACCATTGGCTTTGAGATCCCTTTCCTTTGACACTCCTTTGCTTTGGCATCCCCAATATGTAGCATAGATTTTGTTTCGTCATTATTTGAATTCAAATGCGATTTAGGGTATGTGCCGCAGTATATAATTTTAATAAAAATGTTCATATTAAATTATGTCTTAACTTGATGAACTTAGAATAAACTTTGTCATATCTAGAACCATACTTAATCAGTAAGAATTTATTTGAAGAAATAACATAAATGCATTAAAAATAACAAAAAACAGCTAAAAATGACGTAAAAACTGGGGACCCACAACGTCCCGCACTCATTTTTTAGGCCTAAATTTCAGGGAATATTCCATAATATTCCCCCCAAATATGGCCAAAAATATGGTACTAACGTGCCTCCATCTGTTGGATCCTGGAGATCCCCCATGATTTTTTTCCACATTTTTCCGGGTCTTTCCATCATTTCCCCTGTGCTTTCTGAATGATGACTTGGCTGGAAGGCGAGAGCCGTGAGAGGCGCGGTGTGGGAGCTGAAGCATTGGGGGATGGATAGGGATTTGCCTAACCATCAATATATGGATTATATTATGTATATATATATATACAGTATATAATATATAATATTATATAATAATAGTAATTAATAATAATAATAATGATGATGATGATGATACTACTAATAATATATAATTATTAATCATAATAATAAACACAATAATGATATAAAACACTTTAAACTTAAACCCAAAATAGTAATAATAATAAACGTAACACTAGTACATTAAACTTAAAAACGACAAGAACCAATTAATAAGAATATGTATATAATGGGGAGATAATGGGATAATAGCCATGGATATGGAGGGCAACGAGATGCTGCTTTCGGCCGAACGCAGTTCAGGTGAAGTATGTCATCTATTGTCATCTATCCATCCTGGAATCACAAAAAAGTATAGCTGAATAGTATGGGTTAATATGGGTTATGGATTATTAAGAATCATATTATGGATAATATCCTAATCCATGAATAATCACAAGAAATGAATCTATAGCTGAGAAGTATAGCAATTTTTGGAGAAGACAAACATTGAGAGGTGGAGGATGGCATCAAATCCATCCAAATCCATTTGTTTTCCACCAATTTCACCTTTGTTTTGAGGATAAGAAATGGTTGGGTCAAGGTTGGGCCTGGGATGGGATGGTCAAGAATCGTCTCCATTGCAGCATGAACTTGTTCCCATGGGATACAGTCTCCACCAGTTGCACTCCTCTGATGGTTGGTATTTGAGGTTGTAAACATCGCCACATTTTTAGGGCATGTGATCTCCTATTTGTCATAGGAACTCATGTCTTCGTGCTATTCCCATGCATTTTTGGGTATTTTTTGGTGCCCCTCCAACAACGACCGGGTCGACATGGTCGTTGTTTTTCCATGAGATTTGGTCCCTCTGTTGGCCCCAACTCCCAACAAAGCGGCCAGGATGGGGACCTCCAACAGCCTGCGCGTAGCGGGCTTGGAGTCATGTTTCGTGGTCACCTGATGGTTTTTGAAAAGATGATCCCCATATTTTCGCTTTTAGATTTGGACCATTAAAAAAAAGGACAACACACACACACAGACACCAAGAAAGGCGAAGAACTTCCATGTTTGAGTGTCTGATGCCATAGACTTTTAAGGCCCTGGAGGATGCCAGCCTTGAGGCAGGGGTCCGGGGCCAGGGGCGCCAGCATGGGTTGATTTTGTTGAAAGGTGTTGATGTCGCATTACCCTCTGGTAATTTGTTACATAGCTATTGAAAATGGCCATTTATAGTGGATTTTCCCGTTAAAAATGGTGATTTTCCATAGTTATGTTAAATTACCAGAGGGTAGCCCATCACTAGCCCATCACGATGGCAGAGGAGTTGGCCTCTGCCCTGACGACGAAACTGGACAAGGTGGGAGGGTGGAGATCCCTCGTGAAAAAGTGCTAAGAGAAGAGGTTTTGCCAGCATGAATGCTGGCTTAACTTTAGAGTATATATATATATACATATATAATTTAGATTGATTTAGTATAATTTACTCAACCAGATATATACATATATAATTTAGTATAATGTACTCAACCGGACAAAATCAGACAACGCAAGAACTCAGCCAACAGACATGCTCAGTATTACAAGATATTGCAAGTGTTTGCTTCCAGTTGGAAATGGGACAACTCTAGTTGTTACCCTCTGGTTATGTCAAAATAGCTATTGAAGCCATGGCCCAGTCGAAATAGTGGATTTACCCATTTAAAATGGTGATTTTCCATAGTTTTCCCATTAAAAATTGTGTTTTTCCATAGTTTTTTGTATGTTTACCAGAGGGTATATTGCCAAGCCAGGATAGAAACCTGTGGGTCTCCCAGGCACTGGGTCGATCCTAAAACCGTGAGCCACGTGTCATGGTCAAGTTCTTTTGTCTCCCATAGGGGATGGTCATCAATCCATTTTCATAAATGACATATCTGGGTAAATTATATCTGGGTAAATTATATCTGGGTAAATTCATAAATGAATATATATATATATAATATCTGGGTAAATTATAACGACCTCACTGTTCTCCCTCACTGGAAATCATGGTTTATTTGAGGGAAATCATCCCCTTTTATGGCCGCAAGATTCAGGTCAGTGAAATATTATAATTTACCCAGATAATATACAATATACCCTACCCATTGTATATGATGGGAGAATCGGAGTTTACATTCCCATGATAGGGAATCCCTTATGATGATGGGATGATCATACACTCTTCATCCTTTTTTTCCCTCGACCCTGGCGCATATGAGCTGTGCTGGGATGTTGACCTACCCAAATTTGCTGCCACTTGTGGGTCCTGTCTTTGAGGTTTTTTTTTGCAGTTGGTGCACTGCTTCATCTAATAGCACACCACATGGGTTTGTCTGAACATAGGCCCAAACTGTTGCTTTGCAATCCACTAGATGTCCACTAGATTTCCACCAATATCCACTACCCTCTGGTAAACTAACATAACTATGGAAAGTCACCATCTTTGATAGGTAAATCGACTATAAATGGGCCATTTTCTATAGCTATGTTAGTTTACCAGAGGGTATGGCCCATCAAAGCCATTACACTCCCACGAAATTACCATGAAATCCTCATCAAAATCCATTAAATCATCCTTAAATCACCATAAATCCCTATCCAATCATCCTGAAATCCATTAAATCACCATCATCCTCCAGTAGATGTCCATTGGGCAAACACCCCTAAAGCTCTCGCGCCAGGATAAGGACCGCGCCAAGTTGCAGATGTCTCAGCTGAAAGAGGCGGAACGGCAGCTGGAGGCGGGGCGTAAAAACTGCCAAGTTTTATCGCCGGAGGGTTATACTCAGTATGGGATTTGGGAACTATATAGAAACCATTAGAAACCTATCATGGTATAATCTATCATAATATAATTAATATAATCTAATGGTTAATAGTATTATGAACATGTGGGTTCAATTTTCATGGGGATACCCCAATAATTAGCTGGATGGTTCATGGATGTTCATGGAAAATGCCAGTCTAATAGCTGGATGATTGGGGGTACCCCTATGACTCAGGAAACCTCCTAAAAATGTAGAGAACTGGATGGACTTTCAAACCCGACAACTTGGGAAGGACCAACTTGATTCGGGATGATCTCTCCAAGGGATCCTTGGTAAATATTCAGTTTCTGGAGATCCAAATACTGTGGGTCAAAACAATGCCATAAATAAACTACCCATTTTCCTGGGAATGGTTTCTATATACCACCTATAAAAATGCTGATGACTGGGGGATGGTTGCTGCAGGAGAAGCAGCACCAGCTGGACGAGCTCGAGAAGCGCATCTTCGTTGTGGGACCCGGAGCAGACTGACCAGTGGAACATGCGTCTGAAACTGGGGGTAATAGCTCCATTTTGGATCATTTTGGGCTATTTGAAGTGGGAAAAATGAATGAAAATTCATGATCATCCAGTGGATCTATTTTCAGAATTTTTCAGATAAACAATGACAATTATGATCATCCCATGGGTTTGGGGGTAGTGGAATCCTCAGAGGAACTGAATCAGAATTTTCCCACGAGCTCAGCGCCTAGGCCATGACTGATGGTTTGGATGATGTGATCGAGCTGAATGTGGGAGGTCGGGCCGGTTTCTGGGGCAGACACTTTTTCCGCGTCCCGGTGGACACGGCATTTTTTTGTTCGTTTTTTTTCTGGTTAGGTGTACTTTTTTTTTCTAAAAACTAAGCCCTAAATACACATAACATATATAGACAAACTTGGGATTTCGATGTTTTTTTTTCCCCAGGAATCGGGATTTTCACGAAGAACATCTCTTCAGCAAAAAAACATAAAAAGCCACCAACAGAATGACACCAACAGCGATCCGTAGCATCAAGGATCAAACTGATCAAACCCAAAGTGAGCTGCTCCAAAAACCGTTCGTTTCTTTGCCAAAAAGTTGTCATGTCGACTGCCTTAGTTGTGGCTTTGCTCCTCAACCTCTTCCATGTGGGTCTTGGTTTCCGCACAGAAGTGGTGGCCAACATGTCCACGGCCAAGCCGGACTGCGCGGCGTGGTATGATGTCCTTCCGGGCAAATTCAAGGCCAAGTTCGGATGGACCAGCAGCGACCGCCACTGGCTTGGGCAAATTTCGTGTGGGTCTGAACATGGATAACATGGCTAGGGTTCCCCTGAATGAAATACATTAAATACATCATCCCCTTTTCCTCCCCAGGCGAAAGTGATTCCACCTTCACCTCTCAGGAAAGGACTACCTCAGCAAGACGCCCGACCCCTGCGCAGAGGCGGGCTTGGAATGCTGCGGTGGTCAGTGCGCTTTGCCCGGCTGCGAGACGGACGTGGAGTGTTTGCAGTGCAAGGCCTTGATGGCTGGCAGCAGCATCCCATCTGAGGTGCAGAAGGAGATCTGTGAGGATCCTAAGCGCCTTGGTGGCCTTGGGGAACCAGTCAGCTGAAACGGTGGAAACCATCTTGGGGTGTAGGGCTATGAGGGCTATGCCTAGTAGATGGTCTAGGGGGCACGCATTTTAGATTTTGATAGATTTTGGATATTCTCTTTACCATACCAACTGGATATGGTATATGCAAATTCAATTCTTCCAGGATATGGTATATGAGCAATTTCAATACTTCCAGCCCATGGTACTGGAGATGCTTTTAACTGAAATATGTGATTTCCAATCTCTGGCTAGCTGCCAGCCTCTTAAGCCTATGCTTGTGCGAAACACATGCTGCATGTTATCTTTCGCATACAACATAAGACATGCAAGATGATCATCCATGGGAAGCCGTCAGTGGGATCAGGGGACTAGAAAGGTCATTTCACAACTGGTGATGGTCACCATTTGAAGCAACATTGATGACAGGAAGACTGAAAGCAACCAGGTCATGAAAAGATTGGAAATCAAACCCGGCAAAGGAGGTACCCCCATGGTGCCATGGTTCATCGCAAAATCATCTCAAATAGAATGGGATCAACGGGGACATGTTCCAAGGTTTTGCAGCAACATGTTCTCCAACAATTGCGCCTACTTGGCCGGCGAGTGCACCCGCAAAAAGCAGAGCTGCGACGCCTGCACTAAGTCCTACAAGGACAGTGCTCCTCATGTGGCCAAAGCGTCGTGTGAAAACACGGACCTCTGCTACCTCCCGCAGATCGGAACCTACAAGGAGGGTGGCTGCAAGTGGAACGGTGACCAAAAGAGGTGTGAGAGAGGCCAGTCGGAAAGGCATGGTGCGTACAAAGATTTGTTTGAAGGCTGAGATTACTTCGGCGATAGCTTGAAACTTCCGCGCAGAGTCAAAACAGTAGCATGGCTGTTGTTGTTTCCAAGGGGGGAACCATGGCCATCAGAAAAAGGTCAAACATGGCCGGTGAGATTTTGACATCTTGGGGTACCCTCTGGTAATTTAACATAGCTATTGGAAATCACCATTTTTCATGGGAAAATCCACTATTAATGGTCATTTTCAATAGCTACGTTAAATTACCAGAGGGCACCTCTTTTTGTTGGAGATGGAAAGGGGCCTGATATGTAGTGGAAACTGTACCGAATTCGGATGAATCGCCTTGCCTGCCGGGGACGTCCCTCAGGTTCGATGTTCATATTTCCTAAGTCATGGGGGTATCCCTAAATCATCCATTTTCATGGGATTTTCCATTATAAACATTTATAAACCATCTATTTTCGTATATCGCCATTTATGGAACCCCCATGTTCATATTTCTGGGTAAATTATAACGACCTCACTGTTCTCCCTCACTGGAAATCATAGTTAATAAGGGGAATCATCCCCAAATGGCCTTAATTCAGGTTAGTGAAATAATATAATTTACCCAGATTAAATGGGTTTATTTCTAATTTTTATATACTAATGTTTATTTATAGACCTGGTGATTAATGGAATATACTAATGCTATACTAATGGTTAATGGAATATTATAATTTACCCAGATATTTAGGTAATCATCCCAATTCCCAAGCCACACTCCGCGCCATCGCCTGTGGAAGGTCAGCACATGAGCACGACCCGTGCTGTGCTGTGCTGCGCCCCGCACTCGATGCTGGCAGGACCGAAAATCTTTCAGCGGAATGGCGACATGGCTATTTTTTTGGAGGTAGTTCTAGTAACTGGTGGGCTATTCATCACTATATTCTAGTGGGATTTTACCAAAAAAAAAATAAAAAACCACAGAAATTGGTAAAATCCCACTAAAATATAGTGATGAATTACTTTTCGGCATTTTTCTGGGGTCATTTTTGGAAACCAAAATCGGATAGAACTCATGAAAATTGTGTTGACCTATGATGATATGCCCATCTCGCATTGAATAGTAACGGAGTAGAATGGAGTTAGATGGAGTTTGAAATTTAGTGGCATCATTTGGATATGGCGGGTCAAAATTAAAGACCTACAGATTTTAGTTTATTTTTTACATTTTGAATATTCAAAACATCAATTCTTGGGGTACCAATTTTGACCCATACCCATTTGTCTTATTTTCTATTTATATAATTATATAAATATATATATATACACAACATACATATATATATATATACATATCACATATATATGTATATACATATACATATTTAATATTCAACATCAATTATTGGGGTACCATGGGAATTTTGTCTACCCATGTTTCTTCAGAAATCGACCCTTTTCTGCCTGGTTTCAACCAGGAATGTTCAGTGGCAACTTCGATGCGAGTCACAAGCGTGACAAGGCGAGGCATTGAGGCATTGGGAGGCCTGAAAATCTCACCTCGTGGCAGCTTGTGAGCTGAGGTAAGCGGTACTAACAAGCTGATATATATATATATATTATATTTATTATATTTAATATATATATATATAGTTATTATATTTAATATATATATATATACATATAATATAAGCCATTAGTATTTAGATGTTTTGAGAGTTCAAGATTATTTAGGATGAATCATCGACTGAGTCAGCAATTTCCCGAGTCAGAAACTGTGACAGACATACCCACACACACACACATAGATCAGTCATTTTTGATGATCTAAACTGTCCCATTTTGGGGGCACTTTCCGAAGATCCATCACAACTAATTAATGTTGCCCTGAACATTCCTGGACTAAAGCATCCCAACTCCGAAGTGGTCTTTCGTGCATGGCTGGTGGAATCAAATTGTACTCTCCCCCAATTTTCTACGAGCAAGCAACAGTCACCAGGTGGTTGACCCTGGATTGAAAAGCTTAATGAAGCTCATGGCAGTTTGCACAGCAGCCGGTATGTGGAAAGGCCTTGAAACAGGTGCACATACCCTCTGGTAAACATACAAAAAACTATGGAAAATCACCATTTTTAATGGGTAAATCCACTATAAATCACCATTTTCAATAGCTACGTTAAATTACCAGAGGGTAGCTGGAATTTCAATAGCCACTTGTAGCATCTTGTAGCCACCTGTTCGCTTGAATGCTGATCGTGTCGGGCCAGGAGAATCGGATATTCCTGGACGTTGATCCGCCCATGTTTGAAAAGGCGGGGATCCCAAACAAGATATGCACCGAACACCTGGTTTCCCCCCTTCCAGTGAGATTTCTACGGGACTGTTTTAATATGTTTTAATATACCATAATATACTTGACCTTGGGTTCGCTCAGACTTACCGAAGGGTATAAGCGCACTGTACACCATCGTATAACTATCTATGAGATGATATAATGATACAGTATGATGCTGATTCTGATGCCCATCTATACGAGTAAACATAAACATAGACTGTATCCTTCCATCACAGGGACTGAAACTCCAACAACTCACCCAGTTGATAGGTAAATGACTCTAGGTATAAAACAACAATTTATCAACCCATGACCTATCAACCCATCAACCAACTATTATTCACCATTTATCAGTTGGGATTAAAACCCATTTATTTACCATTTATCATCAAATCCGTGGTTTTATTGGGATTAAACACCCATTTATCAGATTTTATCATTCATGAACAGATTTATTCTTCACCATTTATTCACCATTCCATGAATATTCACCATGACTATTCACTGACTATTCACCGACTCAGCTCCCCATTTACCCTCTGGTAAACAGCCACATCACTATTTAAAATGGCCCAGTCGAAATAGTGGATTTACCCAGCTTTCTGAAATGGTGGATCTTTCCATAGTTATCCCATTAAACATGGTGATTTTCATTGGTAAATCCACTATAAATCACCATTTTCAATAGCTATTTTGACATAACCAGAGGGTAAGACCCATTAATATCCCATTGAATCACTATAAAATCCCATTGGAAATGGTGATTTTCCATAGTTTTTTCCATGTTAAATTACCAGAGGGTAAGACCCATCCCATCCCACCCAGACCGAGCCAGGTGCTACGGCATCTGCGGCTGCGCCGTATCGCCAGTCCAGACCAGCCGGCGCCGCTGCCGCAGGTACCAGAGGCGGGGGTGCCCCCGGGTCCCCGCAACCAATGGGGGTAGGAAACATGGGATTTCTATATAAAAATGGCCATTTATAGTGAGTTTTCCCATTAAAAGTGGTAATTTTCCATGGTTTAATATGGTTTAATGGTTTAATATGGTTTAATGGATTTCTATGTACTTGTAGTGAGTCACCATTAATCAGCATTAAGCCATATTAAGCCACTAATTGGTGAGTAATCATGGTGATGAATGGTAAATTAACTGGTTGGTGGTGACTGGAACCATGGAATTTTATGACTTTCCATTCAGTTGGGAATGTCATCATCCCAACTGACGAACTCCATCATTTTTCAGAGGGGTTGAAACATGTTGAAACCACCAACCAGTATAACATAGTGTGGGATGACTTAGACGATCCCACTATTTTGCACTTAATGTGACCTTGATTACTATGGTGTTCCACGATGTTTGAGAAACCAACCATGACACAACACTTGGTGGTTTCTCAACCATTTCGGACCACCAAAAGTGGATGGTTTGAACAGTTTCAGATGGCGAAATAAGATCTTTTGATTGTTTTTGGGGCCTGGTCATTTTAAGAAACTTTCCGGAGTTGGGGGTTCAACAAGAAAATTGCAGAAATTTAGCAGCAAAAGGGTGGGATATTGAGTGGTGAAACCTCTAAGAACTGGATAGTTTGAGATCCTAAGAAGTGGGCAACGGTACAGCAGGGCTTACATTTTGTCCAAAACCCATTCACCAACAGACAGATGGTGCTTTTCTGAACACAAAGCATAGTTTTTTTTTGCAGAAGTCGCGGGGTTACAGCCAACCAGAATAACCATCCCAGTGGATATCCAACCTGAGGAGCTTCGTGCGGAGTGGGACATGATGATCAAATACTTTGGCCTCGACGTCTATATGTGCCCAACTGGAGAAGATGATGAGGATGAGGATGAGGAGGATGATGATGATGATGATGATGATGATGATGATGAATGGCTTGGGAGTACTGTGGTTTTGTAGGGGAATGCAGTGGGTGTAGCTTGTGGTGGAATGTCCAGGTGGAATTTGGTGGACGCGAGAGGTGTTATAGGTGCAAGTTGGTGCAACATGAAATTGAAAAGGGAAGTAGCCTCTGGTAAACAGCCACATAAGTATGGAACATCACCATTTTTAATGGAAAACTCACTATAAATGGCCATTTTCAATAGCTATGTTAGTTTACCAGAGGGTAGCAAATGCAGGTGTATTCTTCTATTCCTGAAATCTTTCAGGTACGGCGACATGGGTCGGAGTTGCAATATCTTACAGAGGATCCCGGCGGCTGGGGGGTTGAAACTCTGGTGGCACGGGCTTCGGTAATGTGTACGTGATATGAGCTTCTAATGATAGCGACTCCAACAAACAACAGATGGGGTTGAAAGTAGTGCAAGCTTGGAATGATTTGGCCAACTTCAGGTTGGCGCAGTATTAGATGCACGCTTACCAGACGGAGCAGTAATGACTCATTGCTTCCAATCCGGTAGTATGCTTCTTACATTGACACCTTTCAAGCCGGAAAAGGTACGCTGAAGATCCTCGAGTGAATTAAGGGAGAGACAGTCAAAACAAGGCTCACCCACAGTCACTTCGAGTCTCATTTCGGTTTGGGGACACCTCTCCCTACATGCAGAACACCCCCATCCATGCCCTTGGGTCTTGCTGCAGCGGGGTTGGGTGGGTCCCAAGGGGTCACCCTGGTGGTGTCTTCGAAGGATTGCGGAGATGAACGAGGTGGATCAAGCCAAGCTGCAGCCGGGAGCCTCAAGGGCATCAGTTTTTGGTGCGGCCAGTGGCGAGTTGGGATCCAGAACCTATTCTTTTGCAGGTCCAAACTGCATACCCTTCCGCTGGGAAATGCTTTTGCAATGAAGAATCTTTTTCAGCTCCAAACCATTGATGGTTTTCCCGCTTGTTGTCCTTAGGGACAGTTTATGGCTCAAAATAACTGACCCCCAAACTTGCATGCTTTCAGATCTGGAACAATGACATGGGCACCCAAATTCAGTGGTATTTGTTTCACTTCTTGCTTCTTACCCTCTTCTGTTCGGTGATTCCCATTATTTCTCATGAAAGAAAAACACATTTCTGTTGTTTCAATATCTCATGTTTTTTTTTTTACTTGCTTAAACTTCCCCATGTTTCTTGATATTTTTTTCTTCACCTGATTGCCCTAACAACATTGTCAGCTCGCCTCCACCAGCTGCACAGCTCGCAGGGAGAACGACCTGGTGCGCATCACTTTGAGCTCCACGGGTGGTGTGCCCTCCTCCAGCCATCAGGAGGTGCCAAGGGGGCCACTGGGGCTGGGACAACCTGGAAAAAGACTTCGGGGGAAGGGTGAAACAGATCAGCAGATGCAAGTGAGGATGAGTTATATAAGATGGGATATTCTTGGGAATATTCAAGCCCCAAACTCCCAAAGTAGCCAGAGAGCACTACATGCAGGATCCGAAGACGTGCCTCACTGCCATCCGTCTCAAGAAGACAACAACGGGCGGCCACATAGCCGCATGACCACATCCAACAGGCCGGAGCATCTTCATTCGCAGCTCCAGTTGAGTGGCCATGGCTTTCTGCCAGAGATCTGTCAAACGGCGCATCCCAACACAGGGATGGATGGTGCTGGTGCTGCTCTGCTTGTGCCGTTGGCTCGGCTCTGATGGGACGTACTCTCCTCTCCAGGTGCAGGTGGCGCCGCCCATGCTTCGTGCTGTTTGGGAGCCACCGCGGCTGGACGCCCAGAAGCTGAAGGCGTGTGCTCCGAAGCCTCTGGAGGCAGGTCAGTTGAAGGCTCTGATCGCAGAGGCCAAGCACCCAAAGTCGAAGCCTCGCAAGAAGTACACCTGGCGCAATTCACCTGAGAGGCCAGGCCTGTGGCGCTGTTGTGAGTGTGAGCAGTGGCTTCCAGCAACGGCTTTCCACGTTCAAAAAAGGCGCGGCATGCAGTTTCCGCAGACATATTGCAAGGAATGCGGCAATGAGAAACGTAGGTTGCACCATCGCACGTTGCGGGGGTGTTTGCTTCATTTTCTCCAGAGTGCCAGACTTAGAGCCAAAGAGAAGCCGTGGAATGTGACCCTGACCTTCGAAGACCTTCTCGAGATGGTGGAGCAGCAGAACTGTAGGTGTGCCTACTCGGGCGTGCCAATGGAGATGCTTGTACCAAACAGTCATTGGAGAATGTCCTTGGAAAGGCTCAACAACAGTGAAGGGTATTCCCGTGAGAATTGTGTGCTAATTGCGTGTGAGTTCAACACTGGGGATTGTAGCCGACACAGGGGCGTTGATGCCAAGACAGTTGAGGGAAGCGGGCAGTGGTCGCTGCAGAAGGTCCGGGCTGTTTTCCAGTTGAGACATCAGCCCTTAGACAGTGAATCGTTGGCAAAGGACATCACTGAAGCCCGGCTCGGACGCAGACTTGAGAAGAGACACTTATTTCAGCACAGGCAACGAGACGAAAGGGCAATCATGGCAAGCCGAATCTATTGTTCGGCGTGTGATATGTTTCTTGCTCCTGGCAATTTCACTCCATCCCAGCTGTCACATGGAAAGTACTGCACGGCGTGCTGGCGGAGATATAGTCGAGCACGGCGCTCCACGTTGAGGGGTCATATGCAGAAGTGCTTGGGTGACGCAAAGTCTTCGGCAAAGAAAAGGGGCCAGGAATTCTCCCTCACCCTCTCCCAAGTTCTTGACATGCTAGAGCACCAGTGTGGCCGCTGCTTCTATTCGGGTGTTCCTTTGGAGTACAAGCGAATCCACGCTCCTTGGCGTTTGTCGATAGAGCGCCTGAACAACTCAATTGGATACACTGTGGAAAACTGTGTGTTGATTGCAATCGAATTCAACACCTCTGATCAAAGCCGCAACAATGCAGTGACTGAAGTGTTTGGAACTGCGCAATGGTCTAGGGAAAAGGTTGAACATGCTTGGGGCGACAAAGGCTGGGCATCCCAAGGTGCCTTGCTGACCCTGGCTTGCAAAGAGGCTGCTTGACACAAGCGGTGGTACAATGAGGTGTGGACACTTGCATGACTAGGAAGATATAGATCATTAATGATGACTGATGATTGTGATTGTCAGTGAACAAGACTTTGTAGTGGAAGTCCCCAGTGTGTGTGTTTGTGTGTCATGATGCCAAAGATCAATCACAATTTCACCAAAGCAATAGCAATGCAACTGCATACTCATAGATTGCTCTACCATAGTTTTTTTGTGCCACTGCATTGTGGCGTGAGTCAATTCGGTGCGGCATGCCATGGCTGACCGTTTGTACATTGCACGACCCAGGCATATGTACTATGTAGAAGGCTGCAGCCAGCTTGGAAAATAGTACTTGACTTGACCTCTATGGGTGAGGGAAGGACTGTTTCCAGTAGAGTCGACTTTGTTCTTGTACTTTGCATCTTAGTACGTGATTGGGCACCTTAGTCCGACACCATCCCACACCTAAACCAGAAGGTGGAGGGAGGTATGGCTGCCCCACGAATGTGTCTCCGCAGACGAAGTCAAGAGTCAGTGTATAGAAGAGCATATAGGGTTTCTTGCCATTCCAGACAGAACGTACTTTCCCCTCACCTGCGCTAATTTCCGCTAGTCCATAGATGGCCAGTGACCTAGTTAGTGGTTCTGTCATAATCAGGCCTTCCATCCCCAGTTTCGTTTCGTTGTAAGTGCCATCCTCCCACTTGATCAAAGCATCCCTGACTATATCCTCGTCTCCCATGATTTTCATACTTCTTTCCATCTCCTATCATCCGGAATCCCAGTTTCTACTTCTTCGTTTTTCTATATTCTAGCCTGTTTTAAGCCTATTTTAAGCCAATTTAAACCTATTTTAAGCCTATTTTAAGCCTATTTTAAGCCTATTTTCGCCTATTTTTTCAAACTTCCCGGGTTTGTTGAAGAGTTTCTCCCCAACGAATTCCCGATGCCTCCGTCTGCAGGTGCTGGGCGCCTCGGGCTTCTCGGAGCGGTCGCTGGAGAACAGCTACGGCGCCTATCCGTGCCTTGGGGAAGGTGGAGGACCTGGGGCAGTTTCACCAAGATGACCATTGGAGTTTTATATGGTTATTATGTAGTCATCCAATGAAACATAAATATATAATAATATATACTGTACTGTATAGTCATCCAATATAATTGTCTAGTCATCAAATGACATATATTGAAATATATTGAATAATTATGGTTGTACGGTTATACATATGAAGGATCAAGTTGTTAAACGTGACAAAACCAACCAAATCTGCAAGTTTCACTTTCCAAAAGTTGGAAAGTTGTCGAAACCGAAATTGGGATTTGGCCAACCAAGCTGCGGGTATCATCTAAGTCCCTCTGAGACCCCACAGATTTCAGTCACTTTGAGCAGTACAAGCGGGGCGAATTTAGGATGGTGAAGCAATGGCACTTCAAAGCCCAGCTGCTGGCTGAGGAATAGCATCACCATCAAGTTCCTGAAACATCGGGTGTGGGGGCCAAGAAGAGTGGTATAGGTTGGATCGCGTGCTCCTACTGAAGTCACATTTACTTACATGCGAGTGTACGATAAGCATGGCTTTCGCTCCAGATGAGAAGTCGCAGCGGTCACCTGTCATCCATTCGCTGTCACATGTTGCGTAAGTTTTTTGATACATGGTCACTGGGGCAAGGAGCAGTTCACCAATACCAACAAATGAATCTCTTGTGTTGGCTTGTGAGTGCCCCTGCTGCCAACGAAAGTTCCTGTTGTTGTAACTTGGCCAAAGTAGGGCAGGGTACTGTGATGATCCCCGAAGTTCCTAACTGGTTGGTAGCTGTAGTTATAACTTGTAACTTATAATCATTGATAATCCCTTACAGCAGTTCTTAACTTTAATTAACCCCTTGCAACATCTTGCTCCTGGTATATATATATATATATATCCCCCAGCGACATCCAGTTGCTAAGTAGCCATAGTTACCCAGGGAAAATCGCGGCCATTCACCATCCACGAGGTGAAGGTGGAAGCCATGGAGTTGCGCGCAAAGATCGCAGATGTCGGGGAAACTCAGCGGTGGCCATGATGCGGTCCGGTGGTGCCCGGTGGTTCATTTGGGGGTGTGGTAAACCCCTGGTTTTGGTGGACCAATATGGCTCTGGGTCAAAAGCCTGGTACTTAGTGAACCCCAAAATAGATGGTAAATGGATGTTCATCCCCCTAAAAATGGTATGTATAGGTATTGATCCATAGCCATATGGTGAAGATATGTCAACATACAATTTTCCAAGAGTGGTTTGTGCTGACTTGTGTCACTTTTTTGGGGGGGTCGAGCCCTGGATGAGCGGGTCCCCAATAGAAAGAATAGGATGCCCCGTGGTCCCCAAGGTTTCCGCTGGTTGACCCTGTATGGAGGTGCTGGCGCACATGTCCAACAAGTGGACCTTCAAACATGGCCAGGAGTCGGTCAACATGTCGTGCGCCAGTGGATCACCGAAGTGGTTTGGGTATGTTTTGGTGGTCCCCAGGTGTGGTAAAGCCAATGCCATGGTTACCATCCCCAATAGGATATCCAGAAACTGGTGGGCACCCACCATCAACAATTGGAGAGTTATGCCATTGGGTTTACCACATTAGTTGGGTGTGTCTAATTGTGTTTCTCAAATTTGAGACCACCAAAAGATACCAAAAGCATCTGATTTGTGGATACCCTATTTTGCGAAACCGCCAGATGTGCACCAAGAATTGTGGCCACCACCATTTTCCCAAATGTCTGTCCTGAATAGCAGTTGTCGAAGACCCTTCCACTGGACCAGAACTATGTGCTTTGAACTTCAACTGGCCTCCTCATGATTCATTTGGGTGATTCAGTGTGACTCACTAGATTTTCTTGATTTTCTATCTCTGTTTTGTTTTGATATCTTCCCATTTTGTCCAAATTCCTACATTTTTTGTTTGGTTCTTCGTTATTTTTATGCCAATTTCGTTGGTCGTAATCATCCCCAGTTCCCAGGTACTCCTTTTCCCGCTCCGAGCCCGGAACCGGCCGCAAGGGTCCCCTGGATCTCTTTTTGCTGTCAGTGTTTTCTGGACTGAAATTGAAATTAGTATAGTTTCAGTTTCTGGTAAACAAACATAGCTATTGAAAATGGCCATAGAAATAGATAGAAATAGTGGATTTACCCATTAAAACATGGTGATTTTCCATAGTTTTTTGTATGTTTACCAGAGGGTAGGATGTTTCTACAGTCAATCAGTCAACTAATCTAAAAACCAGACTGATGATTTGATTTGCGTTTCATTTCAGTTCACTGGATCTCAAGTCATCCCACATCACTGCAGAGCTGGCGACGCCGCCAAGGTCTTGATACGCCGGGTCTGGGCCAAGCCTTTGTGGATGAGGCATCGGCAGGGTTCGATGACCATTTTTTCATGGGGAACAGGAGGTTTTTTCACATCGGAATTTTTGGTAGCCAACATTTAGATTTAGAGAAACGCATGTCCTGGTAAACAAACATAGCTATTGAAAATTGCCATTTATAGTGGATTTACCCATTAAAAATATTGATTTTCCATAATGTGTGATTGATGTTGATCATGGTTGATCTACATTCTACATCTGAGGAGCTGTTGATAAAGAACATGGCCATGCCTTGGTTGCATTCCCACTGAATTTGTTGCGAAAGGTAAAACCCAGATCTTACAGTTTGTTGTTGTTTGTCCCAATTTTCAGGTCAGGAGCCTTCGTTTAAGCAAAGATTAGCAAGGATCATACATTTCTATACATTTCTATTCTATATCATCCATATCACTGCGCAGTCTCTTCGGAACTCATCCCATACCCGCCATACCCCACCTGGCGCCCTGTCCCAGGTGGTCTGGCTCTTTCCAAGAGACTTCTGTCGGACAGCCTGGCGGTTGGCACCCACCATTTCACGCCTGGGTTGAAGACCCTGGGATGGTCCTGATTTTGGATCTGCCCTGAAAAATCGCTGTGGAACTTGAGTCTACAGTTTGTCAGTCAAAATTATGATCCCTGCAAAAGTGCTTTTTTGTGCAATCAAGATAATATACCCCTATATTGAAACATATTGAAACTGGAGGTCATTGAAGATAACATCCCCCTAATTACTGAAGGGTAACATCCCTAGAGTAGAGATGGTCATCCATGCGGAACTCTCCTGATGTTGCTGGGTCGAGCTGGAGGCTTGGAGCACATCGTGCTGTGGGGTCACGTCATCGAAAAGACCTGAAAGGTCGCGACTGCGCGGCTGCCGGGTTTGGTCCAGAAATGGGGGACTTCACGGATTTTGGAGAGATATCGATGAATGCCAGAGAGCTCGTTGATCCCCCGAACCACTGGGGAGCTACTCTCAGAAATGTCATCTTTTTGCGGCTTGAACATGGCACGTAACCTTGGATCAAATCCCAGTGCGCTTTGGCGCAGCGGCAGTGCGCCGTGGTTTGGCGCGAGGGGTGGTACAGATGAAGGGATCGGAAACGGGTGGTTTTTATATGGTTTTTATACCGATCCCAAAATGTCATTCAAGTCAAGATACCCCCAGCAAACAATCGAGTCAACAATGAACCAACCGAAAAATGAAGAAAACGTCTCAAGATATCTCAAGGAACACTGGATTCAAAATTGATGAAGAGTTCATAGTTTGACTCTACAACGATTGTGTTGCTCCATCCTTGAAATTTCAGTATTTGGAAGCTCGTTCACAATTTTGTCGAAGACAGGATGTTCAAACGAGCTCAGTGTTGACACGGCGAGGCAATTATGAGAAATTTCTGAATCAACCCTGGACCCGGTAGGTTAAAGGATTGTTTTTCTTTTCCCATACATGCGGTAACATAGGCTTTTTCCTTTGGCTACCTAAGGTTGGCCATGGCTATATAATGTGTGAATACCCTCCAGACAGACGTAGCTATGGAAAATCACCATTTCAATTGGTGAATCATATGTCAGTGGGCCATTTTCCATGGTTGGAAATCTCACGAAACAGCAGCTGTTGATTTCCCTTCACCTGCAGCACCCCGCACAAGCGGCTACAGTATGTGCCAAGTTTCACCAGGGTTTTCAAGAGCGAACCTGGCATCAGAACATCCGAATCTCCGAACTTCTCGAAATTGTTCAAAAGCCAATGTTGGTTGGGAATGATTTAGGGTGTTATGTTATGTTGTTTTTTTTGGATTACCTCATATATTATAATATATTGGGCGGTATGATAACCCATAGGGACACTAAAAATTCACCAAACACGATAATATGGGCATCTAAAATACATCGAGACCCACTTAGCACAGGATTTCCATTGCGATGTCGCCAGCGTGGCAGCTGCTCAGCTGGTCATGCGACAGCAGTGCAAAATTCGTGGCAAGTTCAGGAGGGTTTGACCAGAAAGAGGGGGATCTAAGCAACTAACATGGGGATAACTGGTTGGTGGTTTGGAACATTTTTTACTTTTCCATATATAGGGAAGAATAATCCCAACTGACTCATATTTTTCAGAGAGGTTGAAACCACCAACCAGTTACCCTCAGGTAATGAGACATGGCTAGCTGGAAAACCCAGTATGTATGGACCTTTTATTTTTGGGGCATTTGCCATTGCCTCGTTTGATTACCGGAGTGATTATACAAAAGACAGGGATAACACCAAACAAGAATAGGAATGTTGAGTATCAACATTGGGACAAAACCAACAAGAACGAGGACATTGAGTTGTGTATATAGTACATACAACTTCCAAAGTTTGAATAGCCAACATACTCAAACTGACCCACGAGACATGGATGCTTTTCAGGATGTGCATCCCAGTTTGCTATGGAACATGGCCATTGACATGGTTGATTTACCCATTAAAAATTGTGTTTTTCTATAGTTATTTGTATGTTCACCAGAGATTATATATTTAAATCTAGGTAAATTATAGTAATTCACTAACCTGAAATAAGGCCATTTGGGGATGATTTCCAATACTAACCATGATTCCCAGTGAGGTCGCAGTGAGGTCGTAGTGAGGTCGTTATAATTTACCCAGTTAAATGTATGGAATACCAGTTGTGGTTCATAGAGTCATAAGCCACTGAAACGACTCCTGAGACGCACATCCGTTTCAACTCAGAAACCACGTCCAGTGACTGGTACCGATTTTTCCCCAGATAGCTGGCAAGCTATAGGGGTTCTTACTTCTCAAAGGTGGGGTCTTCGGTGGCGAACTTTTGGGCAGGGTGCTGTGCAGGGTGCTGTGCAGGGTGCTGTGCAGGACGCTGCCCAGACTGCGGTGGCGAAGTCTGGCAAAGGTGTTGTGCAGGGTGCTGTGCAAGGTGCTGTCCAGACTGCGGTGGCGGAGTCTGGCAAAGGTGCTGTGCAGGGTGCTGTGCATGGTGCTGTCCAGACTGCGGTGGCGAAGTCTGGCAAAGGTGCTGTGCAGGGTGCTGTGCAGGGTGCTGCGCAGGGTGCTGTGCAGGGTGCTGTGCAGACTGCGGTGGCGAAGTCTGGCAAAGGTGCTGGGCAGGGTGCTGTGCAGGGGCTGTGCACGGTGTTGTCCAGACTGCGGTGGCGAAGTCTGGCAAAGGTGCTGTGCAGGGTGCTGTCAGGGTGCTCTGCAGGGTGTTGTCCAGAGTGCTCCAGACTGCGGTGGCGAAGTCTAGCAAAGGTGCTGTGCAGGGTGCTGTGCAGGGTGGTGTCCAGACTGCGGTGGCGAAGTCTGGCAAAGGTGCTGTGCAGGGTGCTGTGCAGGGTGCTGTGCAGGGTGCTGTCTTGCGGTGGCGAAGTCTGGCAAAGGTGCTGTGCAGGGTGCTGTTCAGGGTGCTGTGCAGGGTGCTGTCCAGACTGCGGTGGCGAAGTCTGGCAAAGGTGGTGTGCACGGTGCTGTCCAGACTGCAGTGGCGAAGTCTGGCAAAGGTGCTGTGCAGGGTGCTGTGCAGGGTGCTGTGCAGGGTGCTGGGCAGGGTGCTGCGCAGGGTGCTGTGCAGGGTGCTGTACAGACTGCGGTGGCGAAGTCTGGCAAAGGTGCTGTGCAGGGTGCTGTGCAGGGTGTTGTCCAGACTGCGGTGGCGAAGTCTGGCAAAGGTGCTGTGCAGGGTGCTGTGCAGGGTGCTGTGCAGGGTGTTGTCCAGAGTGCGGTGGCGAAGTCTCACAAAGGCGCTGTGGTGCTGTGCAGGGTGCTGTGCAGGGTGCTGTGCAGGGTGCTGTGCAGGGTGCTGTGCAGGGTGCTGTCCAGACTGCTGTCGCGAAGTCTGGTAAACTGTTCAGGGTGCTGTGCAGGGTGCTGTCCAGACTGCGGTGGCGAAGTCTGGCGAAGGTGCTGTGCAGGGTGCTGTGCAGGGTGTTGTCCAGACTGCGGTGGCGAAGTCTGGCAAAGGTGCTGTGCAGGGTGCTGTGCAGGGTGCTGCCCAGACTGCGGTGGCAAAGTCTGGCAAAGGTGCTGTGCAGGGTGCTGTGCAGACTGCGGTGGCGAAGTCTGGCAAAGGTGCTGTGCAGGGTGCTGTGCAGGGTGCTGTGCAGGGTGCTGTGCAGGGTGCTGTGCAGGGTGCTGTGCAGGGTGTTGTGGAGGGTGCTGTGCAGGGTGCTGTCCAGACTGCGGTGGCGAAGTCTGGCAAAGGTGCGCTATCCAGACTGCAGTGGCGAAGTCTCGCAAAGGTGCTGTGCAGGGTGGTGTGAAGGGTGCCGTGAAGTGCTGTGCAGGGTGCTTTGCGGCGTGCTGTGCTTTGGTTCCCACGTTGGGAACCATGAGTTCCAACCTCTGGTAACCGGCAGTTTCTTGCAATGGTAACCCATGGTTCCCAGGTTGGGAACCAGGAGTTCCAACCTCTGGGAACCGGCAGTTCCTTGCCATGGTAACCTTTGGTTCCCACGTTGGCAACCTTGAGTTCCAACCTTTGGAAACCGGCAGTTCCTTGCCATGAACCAAACGCAAACATTCCGGTACCGGTCCATTAAGCAAAACAAAGCGTTGTTTACCGGTCCATTGGTCCATTAAGCAAAACCATAAAGTTGTAAAGAAACTGTTTTCATATCATTTTGACATGCACCTTTTTCGTGCAAAAACATTTTTATGCCGGCCCAGCAGCTGAACGCAAACATTCCGCTACCGGTCCATTAAGCAAAACAAAATGTTCTGTTACCGGCTCAGTGAACGAAACAAAACAACATTAAGCACCATGAGTTCTAACTGTTTGCAATCAACAGGTCCTTCCACTGGTAACGTTACTTTTTCAGTCTTGGAACCATGAGTTTCAAGCTATGGGAACCCGCAGTTCCTTACAATGATAGCCGCTTAGCTTCGAAAACATAAATTCCAACTTCTGGGAACCGGCAATTCCTTGCAATGGTAACCTCTGGTTCCCAGGTTGGGAACCGTAAGTTTCAAGGTCTGGGAATCGGCAGTTCCTTGCCATGGTAACCTTTGGTTCCCACGTTGGGAACCATCAGTTCCAACCTTTAAGAACTGGAAGTTCTTTGCAATGGTAACCTATGGTTCCCAGGTTGGGAACCATGACTTCTAACCTGTGGGAACCGGCAGTTCCTTGCAATGGTAACCTGTGGTTCCCACGTTGGCAAGCGTGAGTTCCAACCTTTGGGGCCCGGCAGTTCCTTGCCATGAACCAAACGCAAACATTCTGGTACCGGTCCATTAAGCAAAACAAAGCGTTCTTTACCGGTCCATTAAGCAACACCAAAAAATTGTAAAGAAACTGTTTTCATATCATTTTGACATGCACCTTTTTCGTGCAAAAACATTTTTTTGCCGGCCCAGCAGCCGAACGCAAACATTCCGCTACCGGTCCATTAAGCAAAACAAAAGGTTCTGTTACCGGCTCAGTAAACAAAGCAAAACAACATTAAGAACCACGAGTTCAAACTTTTTGGAATCAACAGATCCTTCCACTGGTAACGTATGCTTTTTCAGGTTTGGAACCATGAGTTTCAAGCTTTCGCAACTGGCAATTCCTTACAATGATAGTTGCTTAGCTGTGAAAACATAAGTTCTAACCTCTGGGAACCGGCAATTCCTTGCAATGGGAACCTCTGGTTCCCAGGTTGGGAAGCATGAGTTCCAACCTCTGGTAACCGGCAGTTTCTTGCAATGGTAACCCATGGTTCCCAGGTTGGGAACTAGGAGTTCCAACCTCTGGGAACCGGCAGTTCCTTGCCATGGTAACCTTTGGTTCCCACGTTGGCAACCTTGAGTTCCAACCTTTGGAAACCGGCAGTTCCTTGCCATGAACCAAACGCAAACATTCCGGTACCGGTCCATCAAGCAAAACAAAAGGTTCTGTTACCGGCTCAGTAAACAAAACAAAACAACATTAAGAACCATGAGTTCTAACTTTTTGCAATCAACAGATCCTTCCACTGGTAACGTTACTTTTTCAGGTTTGGAACCATGAGTTTCAAACTTTGGGAACCCGCAGTTCCTTACAATGATTGCCCCTTAGCTTCGAACACATAAATTCTAACTTCTGGGAACCGGCAATTCCTTGCAATGGGAACCTCTGGTTCCCAGGTTGGGAACCGTAAGTTTCAAGGTCTGGGAACCGGCAGTTCCTTGCCATGGTAACCTTTGGTTCCCACGTTGGGAACCATCAGTTGCAACCTTTAGGAATTTGAAGTTCTTTGCAATGGTAAACTATGGTTCCCAGGTTGGGAAGCATGAGTTCCAACCTCTGGGAACCGGCAGTTGCTTGCAATGGTAACCTCTGGTTCCCAGGTTGGGAACCATGACTTCTAACCTGTGGGAACCGGCCGTTCCTTGCAATGGTAACCTGTGGTTCCCACGTTGGCAACCGTGAGTTCCAACCTTTGGGAACCGGCAGTTCCTTGCCATGAACCAAACGCAAACATTCCGGTACCGGTGCATTAAGCAAAACAAAGCGTTCTGTACCGGTCCATTAAGCAAAAACATACAATTGTAAAGAAAATGTTTTCATATCATTTTGACGTGCACCTTTTTCGTGCAAAAACATTTTTATGCCGGCCCAACAGCCAAACGCAAACATTCCGCTACCGTCCATTAAGCAAAACAAAAGGTTCTGTTACCGGCTCAGTAAACAAAACAAAACAACATTAAGAACCATGAGTTCTAACTTTTTGCAATCAACAGATCCTTCCACTGGTAACGTTACTTTTTCAGGCTTGGAACCATGAGTTTCAAGCTTTGGGAACCCGCAGTTCCTTAAAAAGCCGCTTAGCTTCGAAAACATAAATTCTATTAAATTCTAACTTCTGGGAACCGGCAATTCCTTGCAATAGTAACCTCTGGTTCCCAGGTTGGGAACCGTAAGTTTCAAGGTCTGGGAACCGACAGTTCCTTGCCATGGTAACCTTTGGTTCCCACGTTGGGAACCATCAGTTCCAACCTTGAGGAATTGGAAGTTCTTTGCAATGGTAACCTATGGTTCCCAGGTTGGGAAGCATGAGTTCCAACCGCTGGGAGCCGTCAGTTGCTTGCAATGGTAACCTCTGGTTCCCAGGTGGAACCGGCAGTTTCTTGCAATGGTAACCCATGGTTCCCAGGTTGGGAACCAGGAGTTCCAACTTCTGGGAACCGGCAGTTCCTTGCAATGGTAACCTGTGGTTCCCACGTTGGCAACAGTGAGTTCCAACCTTTGGGAACCGGCAGTTCCTTGCCATGAACCAAACGCAAACATTCCGGTACCGGTCCATTAAGCAAAACAAAGCGTTCTTTACCGGTCCATTAAGCAAAAACCAAAAAATTGTAAAGAAACTGTTTTCATATCATTTTGACATGCACCTTTTTCGTGCAAAAACATTTTTAAGCCGGCCCAGCAGCCGAACGCACACATTCCACTACCGGTCCATTAAGCAAAACAAAAGGTCCTGTTACCGGCTCAGTAAACAAAACAAAACAACATTAAGAACCACGAGTTTTAACTTTTTGGAATCAACAGATCCTTCCACTGGTAACATATGCTTTTTCAGGTTTGGAACCATGAGTTTCAAACTTTGGGAATCTGCAGTTCCTTACAATGATAGTTGCTTAGCTTCGAAAACATAAATTCTAACTTCTGGGAACCGGCAATTCCTTGCAATGGTAACCTCTGGTTCCCAGGTTGGGAACCGTAAGTTTCAAGGTCTGGGAATCGGCAGTTCCTTGCCATGGTAACCTTTGGTTCCCACGTTGGGAACCATCAGTTCCAACCTTTTCTATCTGGGGTCTATGCCGGTGTAATTTTTGATAACCTACAATGTTATGCGCCAGTTATGTTTGTTGATTTATGGTTAGTAAATCCAAATAACATCAATTTATACTATAGATTCTATAGATAAATAACACCCAATAACTATGGATTCTATAGATAGACCATGATAGACCTACCATAAACCCTGGTTACATCCTCTACTTCTAAACCAACTGAGCACCTCGTAGTTGTGAGGCGGGGACAACCTCAGAACAACCAATTTGCCGTCCGTCAGCTGGTGCCGGCTGCGTTCAGTGTGACTTCAACTGATCCACAGGAAACATGTTTTGAACATGGATATTCTGTCAGAAGACACCACTAAGCTTGGGAAGTCATCCAAAATCTCTTTAGGTTGCATTTGAACTCTAGTAACTTCAAACTTACAAAAAAAGGTGGCCACGAAAAAAACCAGCGAAATTTTCTTCACATTTGGAGTTCGACATCATCGTAGCCCATGACAGGAATCACCAATTTTTACGAAGCGAATCTGAGACTGCCCCAACGTCCGCCGTCCGCCGAAATTTCCGGACCGGAGAACGGCCGCCATGGTTTCGAATCCAGAGCTGCGAGGGGCCACTGGGTCCAATATACTGTAAAACATGATATTTAGATATATATATATATATTTAAACATATTATATATTTATATAGTTTACGGGATATATACATGCCATAATTATTATTGTTATTGTTAATCATAATTATTATTTATTATTGTACTGTATATATCTCATAATACATACATATGTATATGTATATATGTATAACATATATATTTAATATACAGTGTGTATATATAATATAATATATATATATAATTTCATATATCAAGAGTGGGGTCGTGAGAATGTCAGGGCTAGATGTGGATATATAAATAGATATTTGACTAGGCTAGGGAGCGCCTTCGATGCAATTTTTAAACAAACTGTTTTTTTCATTTGATCAATTCAATTTGGCTGTGCGCTTAACCTTGCAATTTTGCCACTGCATTTGCTCTCCGTGCAATTCCTTCCTCAGCCGTAGCCTTAGTAGCCTTGAGAGATGTTCCAAGAGCCGAAAAAGCGAGCAGATTGCAGACGTTGCATAATTTCATTGTTTCCGTATTTTCTCATCAACATGCATACATGCAAGCATACATGGTGACCCCAAAGGGTTGAGCTTCAGCCGTATACGAAACCGTTGTGGCCATCGTCTCAATGGTGGCCATGGTCTGTGCTGCACGCGCTTTCGTTTGGTCATTGACCGTGCTATCAATTCTCAGTGTTGGACTTGGTCATGACAGCTGTTGCGCCAAGGCAGCCATGGTGGGAGAAAGTGAAGTGACCATGGTACCCGATATGAATGCAAGAAAGCCAGAGGACTGGGATGATGAAGAGGACGGACCATGGGAGCGGCCATTAATTCCCAAACCACCTGATGCCGTGGTGACTATTTTTTTCCGAGATCTCTTGAACACATTGGAAGATGCGAGTCCCTGGCTTCTGCTTGGACTTCTTCTAAGTGGGGTCGTCAAAGCCGTGACTCCAACAAGCTTTGCTCAGCAGATGCGTGGCTCAGGCGGTCTCCCATTGGCCAAAGGTGCCTTCTTGGGATTGATGAGCCCTTTGTGCAGCTGCAGCGCCCTACCAATGGCCTTAGGGCTTGTGACGGCAGGTGCCAGTCCAGGAGCTGCTGTTGCTTTTGTTGTCTCAGCTCAGGCTGCAGGCGTGGACTCTCTCCTCTTCACAGTTGGAATTCTGGGCCTCCGCTGTGCCATTGCGAGAACTCTTGCAGCTGGCCTCTTGGGGATGGCAGCGGGCTTTGTCACGCCCTCTGGCGCAAACGGGCTCAACAGAAGCAGCAAAAGAATGGCTGATCCTGATGCCTGTCCAAGCACTTCTGGAAGTTGGCTTCAATGTGTAGGTAGGGGCCTTCAAGAGGCTTTGACTGATGACTTCGATGAGATTGCACCATCTCTCATGCTGGGCTTCAGCATCGCTTCACTACTTGCTGCGCTGTTGCCTGCCGGTGGTCTTGCGCAGATAGCTTTGCTGGGAGGCCTTTGGGGCCGTGCCTCTGCAATTGCTGTCGCTCTACCTCTGCAGTTCTGCGAGCATGCTTCTGTTCCATTGGCAGTTGCCTCCTGAACCCAAACCATTCATTCATTTGTTGTCATACATCAAAACGTATTATCAGTATTTGGTGAGGGGATTACATAAGGATTGTCTCCTCGATATGTTGTACACCCTTCTGGTTCAAGTGCCTAAGATATGCTAAGATCTGAAGTTTTTTCTGCACGATGGCCTCCTGAGGCTCTCCAGAAAGCAGGGGCCACCGGCGGCCTCTCTTTTGCCGTTCTTGCATCCTTGCCCGCAATCAACTCAGCCTCCATCGCACTGGTGGCTCAACTGGCTGGCCTGCGAGCAGCGTTGCAAGTTCTTCTTATGATTTGGCTATGTGGAATTTCTTTGAGCTACATCGCTGACTTTGCCAATGCAGAGGTGGTCCAGGAACCGACCTCAGCACATGCTTTTCCTATGGAAACCTTTTTGTGTGAAAGATACGCCTGATTTTGGAAAGGAAGAGTTGAGACAAAATTATTATATATAAACTCGTGGAGTGGAACATATAATAATGGTACCACGAACAATCACTTCCCCGTGTTAGAGAATGCAGAAAGGGCTTGTGGCTGATACTGAATGTGCAAGAGCCTTTGCATTGTATTGACCCCATGCCCAGAGGTGAATTTGATGCTAGATTGCTAGATACGTAGAGAGATACTGTTAGACTGAGACCGATAGGTTCCCACTCTTCTAACATGATCAGAAATCTCGACTTCGCGGAGAGGTGCCCCGGGCAGCATTGCCCCACGCTGCGCATGACCTTCAGTACACATATATATATAGGATTCCTACATTCTATTGCTACGCTGGCCCTATGCTGCCCTCTTCGTAAGGTCGGTCATTCTCATGACGGTTTGCCACAGTGGTTCGTGTACATCAGCAAGCCTTTGATGGGTGATGGCCTGAGACGAGTTGAGACAATCTTAACAAGCTTTGAAACGCTCTTGTTTGCCACCTTACCACCAAATTCATCCAAATTTAGCATGACAACTTGGGAATTGTTGATTGATTTGAGCATATGATCAGGTTACAGGCTAAGAGAGTTTCAATGAGTTTCAAGCAACTTGGGAGACATGGGGTCGTTCAGACGTCGCCCAGGTGTTATTGCTTCACTTTCCGTTTGGCGCCTCTCCAGCTTTGGCACTGCAACAAGGGCTACAGGCTGCTCAGGTTGCAAAGGCTGCAAAGAGCAGTAGCTGCAAAGATCAGCAGATTTGTCTTGGGCAGGAAGATGTCAGCACCGAAGTAACTTGCAATTTGTCTTAGCAGAACTTAGCAGAGTATTTATTCACTGCAACGATATCCAACAATAGTGCTGTTCGTCCAGCAGCCAGGGCGTATCAAAGCAGAGGCCCCCCCCACAAGGCCTATTTCATCATGATCTTAGCTTTCGCGCGCTTCAACTTCCGGTCTCAGTATATTTGTCTCGACGTTTGCCCCGAATTGCCACGCTGCTGTTCCTTCCTTTGATTCCTTCCTTTGAGACTCTTTCCTAATCCTTGGTTCTCCACGTGGGACCTCTCACTCTTGTTGCAGAACTTTTGGTCGAAGATGGTTTCACAGTTTCACACCTTTATGCTTGTGTTCATGTTTTCTCCCAAAGAATCCAATTTAGTTAAATTGATAGCTCTATATTCTTTACTTTCTGGAAGGCATGAATTGGAGAAAACAAAGTTGAATCTGCCTACTAATTACTGGCTGCATTCTTCCATGGACCGTGGATCAAAATCAAAAACATAGGATCCCATCAAATCCAATCAAAAATCCGGTTGCCTGCAAGGCTTCCTTGGAATCGTGTTTACTCTTTAGCCCGCTGAAACATATCTTGCCCGCTGACGGTGTGAATTTCACAATTGGCTTGCCAAAGACGTGACCAACGACGTGATGGAACCTGTCTGGTGGGGACAGTCGATAAGGAAAAGGAAGCCTTGGTGTGCTGCTTTGGTACTGCACGTGAAGAGATTTCTGCTTCCCAGCACTGGTGATGTTTCAGAATCACACCGTATCAATCCATAGCTCCGTTTGATTACCGGAGAGTGACTTTACAAAAGACAGGGATAACACCAAACAAGAATAGGAATGTTGAGTATCAACATTGGGACAAAACCAACAAGAACGAGGACATTGAGTTGTGTATATAGTACATACAACTTCCACAGTTTGAATAGCCAACATACTCAAACTGACCACGAGACATGGATGCTTTTCAGGATGTGCATCCCAATTTGCTATGGAAAATGGCCATTGACATGGTTGATTTACCCATTAAACATGGTGCTTTTCTATATGGGTATGGATCAATACCTATTAATACCATTTTTAGTGGGATGAACATCCATTTACCAGCTATTTTGATGTTCACCAGGGGTACAAGGTTTTGACACACTGCCATATAGTTATTTGTATGTTCACCAGAGGTGATTTAAATGTATGGAATACCAGTTGTGGTTCATAGAGTCATAAGCCACTGAAACGACTCCTGGGACGCATATCCGTTTCAACTCAGAAAAAAAAACGTCCAGTGACTGGTACCCTATTTTTGATAACCGACAATGTTATGCGCCAGCTATGTTTGTTGGTTTATGGTTAGTAAATCCAAATAACATCAATTTATACTATAGATTCGATAAATAACCCCCAATAACTATGGATTCTATAGATAGACCATGATAGACCTACCATAAACCCTGGTTACATCCTCTACTTCTAAACCAACTGAGCACCTCGTAGCTGTGAGGTTTGGACAACCTGAGGACAACCAATTTGCCGTCCGTCAGCTGGTGCCGGCTGCGTTCAGTGTGACTTCAACTGATCCACAGGAAACATGTTTTGAACATGGATATTCTGTCAGAAGACACCACTAAGCTTGGGAAGTCATCCAAAATCTCTTTAGGTTGCATTTGAACTCTAGTAACTTCAAACTTACAAAAAAAGCTGGCCACGAAAAAAACCAGCGAAATTTTCTTCACATTTGGAGTTCGACATCATCGTAGCCCATGACAGGAATCACCAATAAACGAAGCATCTGAGACTGCCCAGTCCGCCCCAGCCTTTTTTTTTTCCCGTCGGAGTGGCCGCCATGGTTTCGAATCCAGAGCTGCGAGGGGCCACTGGGTCCAATTTTATACCTTCAGTGCTGTAAAACATGATATTTAGATATTATTTAGATATATTATTATATATTTATATAGTTTACGGGATATATACATGCCATTATTATTATTGTTAATCATTATTATTTATTATTGTACTGTGTATATATATATATATCTCATAATACATACATATGTATATGTATATTATATGTATAGTACATATATATAATATACAGTATATATATATAGCATATAATACAGTATATAGTATATAATATTTACCCAGATATATGCAATATGTACTACTGAGACCTGGGGACGTCCGGAGATGACCTTTGGGGGATGACCCGAATTGATCGTCTCGTGTCATCCGAGGAGATTCTCCATCTGAATGGAGGTTTATAGCTGGGAAAATCATCTAATACAATGGGAAAATCATCCCATGTATATAATGCCATATATTCATATATATATATATTCCATGATTTTTTCTAGACTCCTAGACCCATTGTCATGGATTTATTTTCAATAATTAGTTGGATATACCCTCTGGTAAACATACAGAAAACTGTGGACAATCACCATTTTATACCTGGTAAATCAACTATTTCGACTGGGCCATTTTCAATAGCTATTTTGACATAGCCAGAGGGTGCTGGGGAAATCATCCAGTGGGGGAAAATTATAACGACCGAAGCCTGTTCTCCCGAACCCTGGAATTATGGTTTATTTGAGGGAAATCATCCCCTTTTATGGCCGCAAGATTCAGGTTAGTGAAATATGATAATTTACCTAGGTACAATAGGTTTTTTTTTTTTAATGCATTTCCCATTGCCCATAAGTCATTTTTGGGTATCCAGATAATTGCAGGGAAAATTATCTACTGTATAAGATTGACACACGGCCAATATCCCCATCCCCATCAAATGTCAGTGCACGGATGAAACGAAGCATCTATAAAAGGGGAAATTTTCCATTGCGCACGAAAAAAAGTGAATTTTGTAGACACCGTAATCCAAACAACGACCAAAAAAATGACAAAGCCCAAAAAACGCAACAAGACCAGATAAGCCACAAGCAGAAGAGCTCGGACCTGGGAGGAGTCGAGCGTCCAGAAATTTGATTTTGCCAATGCAACAGCATTAGAAACACAACGCCGCATCCAATGGGCAACAGGTCCTGCTGCATTTTGAGACGAATAGCCGCCACTAGCGTTTCAGGCACTTATGCTCTTGCGGCGCACATATCGCGTGTACTAATGCACGTGTGCATATCTACAGGCTTCTTTTCATGCACCCCCTTCCATTTGGCGGTAACCCCACGTTCCCGAGGACGACCAAGAACTGCAGCAGCTGCTAGAAGATGAGCAGCTAGGTGGGGTCATTGTGGTTGAACATTGGAAATGCTGAGATACAGTGGGGATGCATATGGGTCATTCATGTGGTCTAACATTAAATGCTGAGAATGGGGATATAGTGGAACTTATTTGGCAACATAGTGGGAGCTAAAACCAAGAACCATGATCTTGTGGGTTTATTTGACACTAGGACGCCCCCCAACCCCCCTGGTTTATCATCATGTTCCCTTTTGAGATGTCAATTTTTGGGGCGCATCTTCAAACACACCCAAATTCTGCATGCCAGTCTTTCAATAGCTTCTGCGGATAATTGTACAGTATGATTAGTGTGGCTCCACATTAGGTAACCCAAACTTGATGGCCTAGAAACTACATTTTCTTCGCTAGCATTGCCGCTACCAAAGATAATTACCAGCCTATAGAATTCCAATAACATCTAATTTGGTGTCAGCATTTCTATTGAGATACCCGGCCTGGTAAACAGCCACATAACCATGGAAAATCACGATTTTCTAGCTGGGTCAATCAACTATTTCTATGGGGTATTTTCAAAATGGCTATTTTGACATAATCAGATGATATCCACAAAAATGGATGACCTGATGGCCTTGGATGGCTCATATCTTCCCTCGGATGGCTCATATTCATCTTGGACAGAAACCATCACAAATTTATTTCAACTACTCTGCAGATGTGGAAAATCCGCTGCTACTGTTGGAAAATTTCCCACTCAAATCTCCATGTCAAATTGGTCGCCAGGACAGCGAACTAGCAATCCCAATAAAAGACAAGCTGGGCCCCAGAAAATCAAAGCCATACACCAGCGTGGAGTGAGCAACTTAGCTATCATCCCAGTAAAAAAATCTGATTATATCCCATAGTCACTTCGTGACTACAGATATTCTAGATCCCCATAATTGAAGTTATAAAGATAATAGTGACTATATTCTAGATATTTTAGATGTTGTAGATCCCCATATTTAGTGACTATAGATATTATAGACATTCGTTAGTGACTATAGTTCTATAACTCCCAGTGAAAAATCCTCATCTTCACCAGGCCCAACCTGACCCATTGCCAGGTGCCGCGCTGCGTCGCAGCTACGTGCCCCACTGGCTGCATCTGGGCTGGATCTCCTCCACGGCCGGCGCGGCGGTGAAAGGCGACTTTGAACCCCGTGGGCTTTTTTTTTGGGTGGAAAAAGGATGGAAAAATGGGGGGATTTCACCACTCAACATGGGATTTCACGAGCAAAACACGGATTTTTTGAGCAGTTCGGGGGATTTGGAGGACAAACTTCTGGGATTTATTTAGGCATTGGCAGGTTTTTCAGCAGGAATTGGAGTTCCGGATTCTAAGCGGCAATCTAGAGATTTAAGCCAGGAAAACTCGACTTCAGGCCCTTGTAGAAGAAGGGTTTGGCTTGATTATGACCATTTTGACCAAGGCACATGTTTGGATTGAGACCAGAAGAGCAGGGTTTTCAGGCAGTTTAAGTGACAAGAATGCGGGATGAAATCCCCAACCGCAAGACGTGGAACTGGAGGAAGGCTATGGCAGGTACCATTCATGTGGTATATATATATAACTATATATATATATTTTCCAAATTTACCTACAAAGTTGCCTACATGTCATAGGTAAAATACAATCTTGGGCCCTAAGATGAAAGCAATTACTGTAATTAGAAATGTGCGTAAGAAGTGTTTATTTGGGTTAACTCATGTTGTTTGAGGTTGGATGAGGCATATATGCCACAGTGCCACAACAAATAGGATGCTGCTGTGGGCATTAAACGTGTCACTGCGTCGGTCTACCTTTTGCGTTCCCACATTGTCAGGAAAGTGCTATTTGATATCAGTGTTAAATCATTTTCTGGCTTTCAAATGCTTCCCCACATGTCGTTTTTCTTTGTGTTCTTCTTTAGAGACCTCTTTCAGAAATTCAGTCTGATGAAACGCTGGTGGATTACATCGATATCTTCGAAATCACTCAGCCAAATAGTTGGTGATTCAGGTTGGCAATACTGAACCATCCCGGCAGTTTTCTATTAGGTTTTTAGGTCATTAGGTTATGTACTAGGTAATTTCTATCAGTTGGCAACACTAAATCATCCAGGAAAATTTTCAACTCATGGTGTTAAATTAACTTGAAATAGCTAATACTGAACATTTCTAGTAGATGGACATCATTTACCCATCATTTTGTCATTCTTGCGGTGAACATGGGCCTTCCCCTGCAACCTGTTCACCGAAACGATCCCCTGTCAAGGAATTCCGATCCCTCAGAGCTTCAAGAACTCCGAGGAGAGCCGGCGGTCGGAGCCGGCGGTTGCGGGTTGCTTCCGCTTACCACCCAGTTCCATTGTTCAAACGTGTGAAACCTACGCAACGTTAACATAAATATATATATATGATTATATATACATATATATATAATATTATATGAGATATCTAAACTCAGCATATCATCGACCATTGAACATGGCATGAATTTTCTTCTTCGGTCGCCAAACTCCCCGGGGTTTTCCCCCGGTGCCGTGGCACGGTGCGACGGTGCGTGGCATCGGGGCATCGGAGGAGAAAATCTTCCAACTGAAAGACGGTGGCACGGTCTCCTTGGATTGGTGGCACCTTGTCGATCGACCTATTGAGGCCGCGGTGCCCGCCAATTCGGATAGTTTTTTGTTGACCAACTTGGACTTGGTGAAAACTACGGTTTATGGGGATATGACTAAAAACATGAATATATATATATATATGTCACTATATATGACTATATATGACTATACTTCATTGGATTTAGAAGCCTACTTCTAACTGGGGGGCTTCATCTTGTAGGGGGTCTTCTGTACTTTAACTTATATAACATATGTTTACTAACTTATTGTGCAGTTTGGGTCTGTGTCGGATATGCAACGTTGACATAAGCCCACATTTGTTGGAGACTTCTTATGACTTCAGATTGGCCGATGGTTATGACAAAGATTCCAGATAGGATTTTCATTGGGTTCGGGGATGAACATATAATCGTTACCCGTTACCGTCGTTGCCCATCCCTGTGGAAAAGTTGAAGAATTCGGGAAGTTGGAGGAATCGATTCGCAACCACCAGCCCACACTAGAACTAGTTCATATAGTTCATTGTTCATCAAACATGGATGAACATATCACCTGAGCCCCCTGTATTCCAGTAGCAGAGCGAAGCCTACCTACCTTTCTCTGACTATCTACCTACCTACCTACCTATCTATGTATGTATTTATCCATTGATCTCTCTCTCTCTCTCTCTCGCCAGAGTATTATTGTGTCCACAAGGGTAACCCGGACCCCCCATTTTTTTTCAGAGGGAATAGACAAATAGGTTGAGTTTTTGTAAATACGTAAAACTGCTGTTGTGCGCCGGCCACTGTTTGCATCACCGATAAGTCACGCAGGTTACAACAACAACGACATCCACAAGACTAATACGGACTCCCCATGTTTTAGAGTTCTGCTTTTGTATTTGTATTGTTTTGATATTTTAATATATTTTGTGTATTTTTTTGTAGTGGGTTGCCTCTTCTGATTTTCTCTCTTCTAATCTTTCTCTTCTCCCTGCTTCTGCCTTGCTCTGCTTTTCATCTCTCCATATTTTCGGAAGTTTTGACTTCTAAACCTTCGATTAACCGATTTTTTTTTTGAAAGAAATAGCAGGCCTGAGCTCATCAGAGTTGCTCCTTCAGAATTTTGTTACCCGTAGTGTTTGACGCATCGCACTCAAGCTACGCTGATGGGGCCTGACTCCACCGCCACTCCGCTTGCATTCCATCCTACAGGCCAGCGAAGAGAAAGGAGCAGATGGGAACTTAACTGATCGATTACGACGATTGGCAAACGAGGCTCAGGCCAGCAGGTTTGTTGGCTCAGTTACTGAATTTGAGGCTTCGCAGTTACTGAACAGTGTCTTCATGAATCCTGTGGCCACCGCAAGGCATGTGTGGATAGAGATGATGCTTCAACAACAAAGGCACCATGATTCCACAACCTCCTGATGTCCCCTCAGATCTTGTCCTGAGAACGCAACCTGTGTCAGATTGCATAGTGTCTTGCACAGGTTCCTCCTGGTCTTCGGAACGAAGGAGCCTGGTGCTACCTCATTGCGGTGCTGGTCATGGTCAGGCGTGAAGTGCTATTTGACATGCTCTGTAGGAGGTGTAAGTCAAAAGATTTTCACCGTAGCCACTGATGACAAAGAAGACAGTTTTTTTTGGCAGCTTATGCTTTCCGATGGCTGTGTGCAGTAATCTTCCATGCATAGCCGAATTCTTTGCAGCCTCCAGCCGCGAGGACCGCTAAGCCCGGCGTGTGTTTATGTGAATATATAATCAGGAATTTGGGGCAGGTTTTGACATATTTTCATTCACGTACCTTGGGTTCCTGCATCAACTGCAGGAGTTGAGTACTTTCGGCGTTCTCTTCAAAGAACTGGAGGACGCTTTTCTGTACGTGCGAGATTCATGAGGCAGGAATCAGAAGCATACCAGCAGCATTTTTGCGTTCGCACAGGAAGAGCGGCAACAGTCTGCGAAGGCGCCATCCCCTCATAAGTTGGTAAAATTTCTCACGCAGTGCTGGGCTTAATACGATTTTCGTGCAAATTGTTCTGCTATTGGAATTCATCACAGAAACGAGTAAAAAGACCGCCATGTAATGGCTAAATTTTGAACTGAGTCTACGCCATGACTGATTTCTGCCTCTGAGGCATTTTCCAAAATTCGAAAAAGGTGTGCAACAAGATTCTGCTGAGTGTTTGGAGTGCGTTCTGACATGTATGGCAGAATGCCTTCAACAACTCTGGGAGGCACGTGGAAAAGGGCAAGTGGGGTAAACCGCATTTGTGCATACATGTCTTGGTATGCTCTGGATGTTTCAACCGATACGCAAGCGTGATCCGCAGGGGCGGATGTCAAGAGACCTACAATGTTCAGAATGCAAAAATGGAAGTGCGCAATTGGAAAGGCACGCTGGGTCGGAATGCATCCTCAACTGAGAGCCGATTGTTGTTTCTCTTCTGTAGGTTCACATGTTGGCCACTGGGCCTGAGCCCTCACGACGAGGAGGTGAAACTTGAGGCAGTCTTCACGCGGAGAGAGCGACATTGATATATGGAGTGGAAATATGAAGCGACAGGCAGACAGATACACACTGGGGTAATCTGGGGTAATGGACAGATGGACAGATAGATTCGTAGCCGAAATAGATCAGCAACCAGCCTCTCGAGGCATCCCCACATTGTCTCTGTAGGCCTTGCTGGAGAAGTTCCAGGACGCAGAAATCTTAGAGGGAGAGAACAGTTACACGCTTCAGCCTCAGACCTACTGAGCTGTGCTTCAGTTGTTGTTCCGAAACGTGGAAAACAATGATGATAAACAAATAAACGAAGGATGTTTGCGTTTTATACCTACATTTGAGGTGTGCTGTCTGCAAGGGGAAAAAAATGCGCATGTGCGCTGGGTCATTGCTCAAACTCCAAAGGCCTTCCAATCGGTTGCTGACACATGTTGAATCGAACATGTTTTTTTGAACTGGAGAGAGATGCTTTTAAAGTCAAGCCGCTTCTTGCTGAAAGAGTTGGGGCTGTGTGGTCTCTCAACGGCGAGGTGGCATTCCTTCACTTGAAGCGGTTCACCTGTGCCAGTGAGACGCGGGGTCCCTGAAAAGATTCTAATCTGAGTAGACCGCAACTGGTTGTGACAGAACCAACTTACAAGACATATCCATACATATCCAAGTTTTGATTAAGTACCTTCCGGCAGTGCTGGGTACTGCGTCCTGTGCCCAGTTGGGCAAACTTTGCTGTCCTTCCTGGGCTCTGGAGAGATTCGAAATGCAGAAGCGCTCTGAGGCAAAAAATCGATGTCAAAGTCATCGTTCAGGAATACCTCTGGTCACACCGCTTGGTAGCAGTGCGCTTCTAAGATGCTGCGGCAAATTCTCTCTGACGGATTGTCAGACAATTTTTTTTTCCCTGTGTTACTATTTGGTCCTCAAGCAGGCCAGAAATTTCCGAGTGAGGCACACCGGAAAGATCGCTGCGGGGCACTACGTGACATTTGTCAGGCAAGGTGATGTTCAAGTTCTGCTTGTTGGTCTTTCCATTGGTCTTTCCATCTCTTGAACCCATTCCACGTTTCAAGGTGCTCGCATGACGCTTTTGTGTGGCTGATGTACGACGATGATTCCTGTAAAAAGGCGTGTGGGCAGGGCTGTCGGACCTGCCGTGTGCCCGACGGCTCAAACTGTCAGGTGTCAACAGAAGCAGCGCTTGAAGCTGCGAAACGGGCCGGAATGTCAAAACTGCGTTCTCCAACATGCTGGGATGTGCTGCAGGCTTATTTGCTTTGCTACGTGCAGTGTGGCGAAGAGGCCCAGGCCAGGATGCATGCCTGGCTTCTTATACCAGAGTAATTACAAGGATCACAGTCCACATATTATGTGTGCAATCTTTGCCTTCGTTGGATTCCAAGATTCCAGTGCAGCGATTGAATTGCTCCTTTTGCATGTTTAAACTATAGTATACGCGCTAAGGTTCGTGTTAGCCAGGAAAACAATTGGCATGATTCGAAATAATTCTATCGAAATCTAAAAAATGCCTATCGAAGTTATCGGACTCTCATCTGTCAGGATTCGAAACATTTCAGAGCAAAATTGGGCAAGGCGTGGCATCCCTGCATGGAGTTCTCATTGTGACACGCTGTTGGCTGATTCGAACAGCTTTTCAAGCTTTTGCATATATCGATTTTTCATAACCAGTCTTCTTGTGAACCATCCTGCAAGGCATGTCTTTCTCCGCTTTTGGCAATTTGCCTGATGACGATCCAAGATCTTGACTTTTGCATATTTGCAGAATCCCCTGGACAGATTTGTGCCTCAGACCAGTGTGCCAGTCCCAGTGGTTTCGCAAAGTGGTGGAAAAAAGGAAGCTCCGCAGACGGCTGCGCCGAGAACAGGCGAGGGGTCAGAAGTAACAAGCGAATAGCAGCTGTGATGCATGGAATCGACGTCAGGCCAGACGGTCAAGAAGAATGAAAGAGGTATGACCGCTGCAGAGATTGGACACGGAATGAAATTTGGAGTTGGCAGAAATCATCTTCCTGAGGAGAACTTGCTTGGGGATAGAATTCCTTGTTCGATGAAAGATGTTCTGATCGCATTTTAGCCTTCGAAAACGTTTGAACTGTTTTGATCTTGGAAGTTTAGTGACTGAGGGAGCAATGTATTTCTGCTTGTTTTTTGTGATGCTGCTTCGGGGCTGCCTTGGCAGGCACGCAAAGCTTGGGCAAAGAGGATGGCCGCACTTGAAAAAGAAGCTCAGAAGGCGCATGATGACGCGAAACACAAGCGACAAAACCATGTTGAAGCAATTAACACCTGCCGAAGGGTCAGCCAAGCTCGGAAAGCAAAGACGTAAATAAGGGCAAAGAACCGGAGGCTGGAGAGAGACACTTGCGCAGTTCTGCGAATATAGATCTAAATAAGGCACTGAGCATCAGATTGGTCGACATCCTTTGCAATCAGTTCTTTCCTTTCCAGAACACCTGCCAAAGGGTCAGCCAAGCTCGGAAAGCAAAGATGTACGTAAAGGAAAAGAACCGGAGGCTGGAGAGAGACACTTGCGTAGTTCCGCAAATCGAACCTAAATCCCGCACTGAGCCTCAGATTGGTCGACATCCTTTGCAATCAGTTCTTTCCTTTCCAGAACACCTGCCAAAGGGTCAGCCAAACTCGGAAAGCAAAGACATAAGTAAAGGAAAAGAACCGGAGGCTGGAGAGAGACACTTGCGCAGTTCTGCGAATAGAGATCTAAATCCCGCACTGAGCATCAGATTGGTCGACATCCTTTGTTTCCTTTCCAGAAGGTCAAGTCAACTGCGAAAAGAAAAGACAGTCGAAAGGACAAGCAAGCAGAGGAGCGCAAGCAGTAATTTGATGCCCAATGGCTTAATCTGATGGAAAACAGCTAAATCTGATGGAAAGTGGTGAAATTTGATGGAAAATGTTTAAATCTGATGGAGTGCTATTTATTTTATTTTTGTTTTCTGCAACTTTAGTTTCTTTTTATTCCTGCTTCTCTGCTTTCCTGCTTTTCCTGCTTCTTTGCTTTTCCTGCTTTTCCTCATTCTCTGCTTTTCTGCTTTTCCTGCTTCTTTATGCTTCTTAGCTTTTCTACCAGTCAGCTTTTCTGCTCCCTTTGCTTTTCTGCTATCATTTTGCTTTGGGGGGAGGCGCCTCTCCGCCCGTTTTTTTTATTTCTAAACCCAAGCTCGTAAATGCATTAGTTGGGGTCGGCATGATGATGTGGTGCTTTCATTCTGCTTTCGGGGGAGGCCCTGCGCTTTTTTAATATTTAAATCCAAGCTCGCAAATACATCAGTTGGGGTTGGCATGATGATGTGTTGCTTTCTTTCATTCTGCTTTGCCCAGATGTGGCCAATACAATGTAGGAAATCTCATTCAAAATGGAAGGTGAACATGCCCATATGTGGCAAATACCATGCAAAATGACAAATTCAAGTCCCAAACCGTTGCAAACACTAGGCAAAGTAGCAGCCAAGAAATCCAAAAAAGATCCTAAAGCATCCTTTTTTGGAATAGTTAAATCTGATGGAACATGGCGAAATCTGATTGAAAATGGCACAATTTCCTCGAAAGTTGACAAATCTGATGGAAAATGGTTGAATCGGACGGAAAATGATTGAAGCTGATGGAAAACGGTTAAACCGCATGGAAAAAAGATAGGAAGTGGCTTAATCTGACGGAATCTGATGGGATACGGCCCAGGAGCCGTGGGCAAAAGACAGCAGCAAAGAAGACATGCCAGCCCGTTGCTCAATCAGAAAGATGTGAACTTATCATTTTTGCTTGCTGATCCTGAGATTCCGAAAGCAGAACATGGAAAGACAGAGGATGCTCCTTCCGAGCCTGGGCTGGAGCCTAAATTGACAGATGTTGTTGCGGGCTGGAAATCCCTCATTGATGTTGTTAGCAAGTTTCATGTTTTCGGCTCCTGACAGTAGCTGCGTGGAGGACAGGCAAGTGTGGCAGAGGAAGGCAGCAAGGGCTCAAGGCGAAAATGCCCTTTGGGTCGATAATGTCCATTGGGTTACATCGATGGTGTGCCTGCAGGTCGCAGACTACAGAAGACTGTTGAGTGATGCTGGTTTCCTGGCTAAATTTTCGTTGAGCTTGCAGTCTGTCCTTCATTTATGCGGAATTTTCTTAGGCATCTCTTTTCGGTACGACAGCAAGAAGGGGGAGTTGGTGTCGAAATGGGAGGACAGCTGTAATCTGTTCTCTCATGCGGACACCAAATCCTTGAAGTTGAGTTTAGATGATGAGTGAACATGGCAGTTCATTGGAACCTTCTTTGTTGTCAGGAGTTTCAGCCAGCTGAGCCGGAGAATGCGGAAAAGAGGCTGAAATCTTTCCTCGAGGCTGCTCACCCTGCCAGGTCGCAATTTGGGACAGTTTCATTTTTCATACCTTCTTTCATGGCTCATGCTTGTGAGCCTCTTGCTAGGCCAACGGCAATCAGAAGGCTCAGAAGGCTTGTGTGATTTGCACCTGCCGTTGCACACTTGACACACATTGCCATTGGCCCGGTCTTTCCAATAGTTTCTTTTCTGTGTCAGGATGAGAAGAAGGTCACTAAAAAAAAGCATATGGCATCAGAAACAAGAAGATGCGATCTGTGTTTGAGAAGCCCTGATGAGGCTGGCAAACTGCAATTTTGAGCATCTCTGACAAAATCCATCAGCCGATAAAGAAATTGTGAAAATTGCAGGCAGCATGGAGACGGATGGAAGAAGGTGCGGAGCAAGGACGCCGCTGCCGGAGGTGCTCCATGTTTGTGACCTGCCTGCATGGAGTGAAAAAGATTGGCAATCCACGTGTTTTGGTTTTGGGAAAGGACTGCATGGTGATTAAGTTGAGCTCGATCTAAAAAGCTTAGGCACCGTGTACGACCCAGTGCAGTCAAATGCAAGATTCTGTATTGGTTTCGAATAAGTTTGTTAGTGTCCACTCTGTAGCAGCAATGGTGCTTCTCAATTCCATTATGGGCGATTTCATATCATGCACCCTGTGCCGCTCCGACTGAATGAGGTGGACAAGCTGTTTCGCATGGAGCCGAAGCAGCGCCCAGAGTACTGCCAGAGTTCAGAAAAGCCAGAGGCACTGTGGAAAAGATTGAAGGACTCCAGATATGAGCTGGGAACATGGTCCAGAATATACTTGTTGATACAAAGCTTGACAAAGGACAGCGATCCTTGGGAATATATGGCAAATAAGACTCAAGTTCTTTCCACGGATCAAATATCCGAACATAGTTTTGAAAGTCTTGACGTTTTCCATGTAGCATGGTCAGAACAAACGAGCTTGAACCCGGCCATGCATGCACCTTCATGGCCATCAATCTTGCAAGCCCAATATACCTTCATCCTTGCGAAATCCCGATGTATTACCAGTAGTACCGCACAAGGCGGTGGCGAAGTTTCAAAAATAGGAAATCTATAGGAGAGATTGGTTGTTGTGAATCAGGGATGGCAGAGCGAAGCCACTGATGGACCGAAAGGTGGTTGAGGTCTCCTCTCTTTCTCTCTCTTTCTCTGACTATCTACCTACCTACCTATCTATCTTCTATGTCTATGTATTTATCTATCTATCGAACTATCGATCTCTCTATCCCTCTTTCATCTAATTACCTACCTACCTACCTACCTACCTTCATCTATCTATCTATCTATCTATCTATCTGTTTCTCTCTCTCTCTCTCTCCTTCATCTGTCTAGCTGTCTAGCTGCCTATTTGTCTATCTATCTATCTGTCTAAGTGTAGTGGAGTGTAGTGTAATTAAGTGTAGTGTAATTAAGTGTAGTGGAGTGTAGTGTAGTGTAGTGTAATTTAGTGTAGTGGAGTGTAGTGGAGTGTAGTGGAGTGAAGTTGTGTAGCTGTAGTTGAGTGTAGTGTAGTGTAATGTAGTGAAGTGTAATGTAGTGTAGTGTAGTGGAATTTAGTGTAGTGGAGTGTAGTAGAGTGTAGTTATGTAGTTGTAGTTGTAGTGTTGTGGAGTGTAGTGTAGTGTAATGTAGTGTAGTGTGGTGTAGCGTAATGTAGTGTAATGTAGTTAAGCGAAACGAAGGGAAGCGCATCTAAACCACCAGAACGGTTCGACATCTCAACTTCCAAAAGTGGTCCGAGAATGGTGTGTTTTGTACATTTTGACTTGGAAATGTGCTTCGCGCCACAACGGCGTGCAATTGTTCATCTCTCATCTGGCCAGCTGGCTCCGCACCCGCCGCTTTAGCGAGCCTACTTTTCGACCCTCCTGAGCCACAAATCATTGGAAAAAACACAGTGAATCGCGACTTTCCTACCCCCTCGCGCATCTGCATCTTCTTTCTTCTCACTCTTTCTCTTCTGATCTTCTCTCTTCTAATCTTTCTCTTCTCTCTGCCTCTGCCCTGCTCTGCTTTTCATCTGTCCATATTGTCGGAAGTTTGACTTCTAAACTTCTTTCGACGATGGCAAAGACCATGGTGTCCGGTTAAGGTTTTCCCTCAAACCAATCCATTGAACCATTTGTTTGGTTGGTTTCAATCCCCGCTTTTTCCACCATTCTTGATTGTAACATCATGTCAAACCCACCGTTTTTCTACCTTTTTTGGACGGGAATCTCTACCAGCCACGCCGCAAAAACGCCCCTTCTGAACCGAGGCAGCAACAACGCTCCGACCGCCCGGTCGTGTTGGTGCTTCCCGGTATGGCCAACAGCAGCGTGGCTGCGTTCGAGCCCTGTCGGTTGATGCGTGTGGGGGTTATGCTACCTCTTTATATAGTGATTAGCGGGGTTTATCTCTTAATAACATATGATAATGGGATAATGATGGGATACTAATTGCTAATCAATTGGTAATCTATGACTGGTTGGTGGTGACTGGAACATGAATTTAATGACTTTCCATTCAGTTGGGAACGGAATAATCATCCCAACTGACGAAGTCCATGATTTTTCAGAGGGGTTGGTTGAAACCACCAACCAGTCATTCCATGAACTGGGAATCCAGTTCTGAACGAAGCAGAATTTTCTGGAATGACACTGCTGGGCTAGTGGCTTCACATGAGATGTTGCGGGTGAACCGTAACAAACGCAGGTTTTTTCCCCTGCTTTGGTGGCTAAGGAATGGGGTTTGACCTAAGGGATACCGGGATACCTCCAAATCAAAGTCAAAATCCATAGAAGAAATGGGATAAGGATGAAATCCTGTGTTAGACCCCAAACCAAAGGCAATTTTTAGGTAACTTTTCGTGGAATTTCGCATTACGGCGTCGGGAGGGATTCTTGTGACAGGTAGCCGCAGTATCTACATCCGGTACACCATGGCACGGTTGGACGAGGTGCATTTATGAGACGGCCGAATGATTGTCGCTACCCCTGTGCTGTTATTGTGCCCCCATGATTGTCACTCAGATAGTCTCAAGCACGTCACGAGGACGATCTCCATCTTCGATCACTGTAAATCACAATAAATCTGATTCTATAAATTTGATTTACTGATTGAATCAACACAAATTAAGAGCATCAAATTTTGAACATCAAATCATGATCAGAGCATCAAGCATCACAATGATTTTCGATCAAGCATCATCAATGAATCATCAACCATTTACCATCAACCCATCATCAACCCATCATCAACCATCAGATTGTTCCTTGAACAGTTTGTGTAACGTAGCTCTGACCTGTTGATCTGAACAGTTTGTTGGGGATTTAGGTATAGAATGGTATAGATAGGTTCCATTTCCATCACACAAACCATCATCAAACCATCAAATTGCCTGAGGGTAACCGATCTCACCAGGCGGGCTTTCAGGCGGTGGCCATGAACTACCGCGCCGTGGAGCATTTGGAGCCACTGGGCGGCCGTGATGACCAACCGCCACGGGACACGGGAGGTTTTAATGGGTAGGAAGAAGCACCCCAAGATGGGCCGATTAGTATGATGGCATTAGTATGGCATTATATATGGCTTAGTTCTGATTTAAGAGGTTCTTTTTTCTAGTTTGCCTGGATTCTGTGAGATTTTCATGTGGGTATGGGTGCAAGCCCATTCTGTCCAAAGGATTCCAAAGGTAGTATGCTTCAATATGCGGACAAAGACTGTTCTGACGTCAACTTCCTGGTTGAAAAAGCAAATTACGTAAAGTGGTTTTCAGCAATCTGAAGGTGGATTAGTAGCATTTATTCAGCTGATGCCTTCTCAAGGTTTCGGGATTCTGAAAGCCATAATATTCTGAAACATCATCAAAAGGGTGTGTCTGAAAATGAGATATACCCCTAAATATCTATTTAGTTCGGAGACCTATGATTAGCCACACGATTTTTGTATCAGCATGGGTTCAAAAAATCCGGCTTAGAGATAGAGTAGCTAACAGTTTTGATCACAAGGCTTAAGACATATTGAAACCTAATTCTCATACCTTTGATGAATAATTGTGTTTCACAATCCTTGGTCAGTTGCGTTTGTGCAAAGATGAAGGTAATCCAACAATCCAAGTCTTGTTTTTGTCGCCATAATCTGGGGTCTGCTATGGTATGCACCATTTTTAAACAACACCATTTCCGTTGTTCGGTAGAATCTTGTCAAATCAATGTGATATATAAATCATGTTAACTCAATTTCCACTAGTTGTTGGTTGGCCATCTGGTCAGATCATGTTATATAAAATCAGGGTATAAATCCCTATTGACCAGATTTTACCAACAAATAGTGGGAAATCCCTATATGGTATGTAAAATCAGGTTGATAAATCCCCTATTATTTTTGAATGCTGCGTCCTCCCCGTAACATGGCTGGCTATAAATGCTGGCGTTTGTCCAGGATCACCTCGCCGCATCTGGGTTGCGCGGACACTTGGAAGGACCTCCCAGAGGTGTTGGATGTCATCGAGGTGCCGAAAGGGAGTGGGTTTAGGGTGTTTTGTGGTTTGTGCTTTTCGGATCATTTCGGATACCAAGATTTTCGGAAAAATCTCCAGCTCATCCAGCGAAAAATATTTCCATTATTTGATATATCCACCATCAAATATCCACCTTAATATCACTTCTGGCTTCACATGTTGAAACTGTGTGAAAGAACTCAGTTCTTCGATTGTCAGGTCTTGGGTGGGTTCTGGGAGATGATGATTTCATCCACAGCTTCAGGATGTTTCAGGATGTTTCATCCACAATTTCAGATGGAAAAACCCTATGGAAAACCAACATTTTCAGGATGAACACCTATGGTTTTCATCATTTTTCATCCACCGTTTTTTTCGATCGGAGCATGGAAAACTCACAAAACATCGCATGTTTTCAGCGTTTGACGGCCTGGCAGGAAGCTTGTCCAAAGCAGCCGATCTTTGCCATGGGTTTCTCCATGGGCCACTGGGGCCGCGTCTTTTTGTAGATTTCAAACGTGGGGAGATGTTGACCAATAACAGTCAATTTGGGTGTTTTTTCAAGGAATATACCCTCTGGTAATTTAACGTAGCTATGGAAAATCACCATGTTTAATGGGAAAATCCACTATAAATAGCCATTTTTAATAGCTACGTTAAATTACCAGAGGGTAGAATGACTGGAGTCAAACTGTTGTAAGATGATTCTATTGGATCTCAATCAAGTGGGAATTTGAAAAGCAACGCTTCCTAACTTCTAACCGAGACACAATGATAGGATATGATAGGTGTGATAGCATGTCAGACCCCAAATCCGAGAACTGCTTCAAAAGTGCCGAGTTGTCAATGTTTGACTCTCCTGACAAACCTAAAAAGTGACTTGGGTTTATCTGAAAATGTGGAATACACTCCCAAATGGCCCGAAAATTTTGCATTGTAAGTGTGAGAATGATATGATTTTCACGAGTTGAGGGCCAGGGTACCCAATTTTCAGACACACCCATATATGATTAATATTGTGTGCCAGACATATATCAATACAAATATAACTATAAATAAATAAACAGATAAATGAATCAATCAATGTATATATATATATACACACCATGTTGTATAAAAATGCCTTTTTTATATCCCCATCTCCCCTTAGATCCAAGTTTTGGCGTCGCCAAGGCGGCACCATCCTCACCAAGTACTTGGGTGAACAAGGCGAACACTGCCGTTCCTTGGCGGCGAAAAATATGCCACTTTTGATGGGACCCAAAATCGGATAAGCCACGGTGATGACATTGGAATATTGGACTTACTACTGTGGATGGTTGCGAAATCCTGCACCAGTTGATAGATGGTAAACATCCCACTATTTATAGGGTTTCAAACATCCTTTTGGTGGTGCAGGATTTCGCAACCATCAACAGTAGGAACCATGAATTGCGTTACTGTTTTTTTTTCGGAAAAAAAGACACTTCCACTCGGTGAAAATTAGGTTAATTTTAGCATTTCCTGGGATGATTTTTTCCAAGTAGGTACCGGTGAGACATGGGAGGAACGTCAGCAAACAAAATGGCGATGTTCATCTGGATTTAAGCCAAAAATGAGGGATTGAACGTGATTGAACCCACGAGAACGAGAGATCTCATCGAATATGATCTACCCTCTGGTAAACATACAAAAAACCATGGAAAATCTCTATTTTCAATGGGTAAATCCACTGTAAATGGCCATTTTCAATAGCGAACTGTTAGTTTACCAGAGATCTAAGGCCTGGATGGCATGGTTTTGCTGCCCCATCTGGTTGGTACCGCCGTTTTGGATGGTCAATGATGGCTTTAACATCAAGAATTAGGTCAGTCATCCAAGCAAAATGGCAATAGCTCATCTGTATAATTTCTATGTTGATTAGTTGATTCGCCTAGAAGAAACACCAGAAAATCCCTCATCTGCTTGGTTAAAATCACAAGAGGTAAACAATCAAACAAACGAACGAACGCACGAACGGACGGACGGACGGACGGACGAACAAACAAAAAACAAAACAAAACAAAACAAAACAAAACAAACAAAACAAAAAACAACAAAAAACAAAACAAAACAAACAAAACAAAAAAACAACAAAAAACAACAAAAAACAACACAAAACAACAAACAACAACAAACAACAACAAAAAACAACAAAAAAACAACACAACACAACAAAAAACAACAAAATACAAAAAACAAAAACAACAACACATAACATAACATAACATAACAAAACAGACAAGCAAATAAACATACAAACAAACATACAAACAGACAGATTTAACATACAAACATTGCTGGCGATACTATATCACCTGGGACCTGGTAAATCAACTGTTGTTCCCTATTTTTGTTGGGTAAAATCGTCCGCAGGATGCTATTACTACTAAAAAAATAGTTTTATTGGTTGAAATCAATGAGAAGACAAGACACAGCACTTTATTTCTTTGAAACAATCAGTGAAGATCACAGAAGATCAGTACCCTCTGGTAAACTAACAGTTCGCTATTGAAAATGACCATTTCTAGTGGATTTAACCATTGAAAACGGTGATTTTCATTGATTTTCCATAGTTATGTTAGTTTACCAGAGGGTATCATCCCAAAAATCACTGAAAAAAATCCCCAGTTCTGTCACTGAAAATGATCCGTCCAGGCATTCGCGCCGCGGTGGCTGTGAGTTGCCCCTTGGCCTACCCGGCGCACCAGGCGGAGCTGGAGAAACGCCGCATGGCCGAGGGAAAACTCGGTTTCCGATGGTTTTGGATGACGATTTCCTAGGGAAAACAATGCCTGGTTGGTGGTTTGGAACCATGGAATTTTATGGTTTAATGGTGATGAATGGTGAGTAATCATGGTGATTAATAATAAATTACCTGGTTGGTGGTTTGGAACATGGCTGGATTATGACTTTCCATTCAGTTGGGAATGGAATGTCATCATCCCAACGGACGAACTCCATGATTTTTCAGAGGGGTAGGTATACCACCAACCAGGTTTAAGGTGAAATTCATGGTGGAACATTACTTGGACCAAGTTACTTGGAAGATGGGTGGAACTTGATGGGAGTGACTTTTCGCATGACTTAACAATCCTTAAACATGGGTTCGGATGGTTTGAGACGGTAAATGGGATACAAGGCTTGGTTTGATGGGTTAATTTTTGGATGCTTTTTGGGAAGGTGAAAAATACCAAATTCTAGGATACTGGGGGGTTTTTAGTCTTGCATGCTGTCCAAGATTAAGCATGGTTGGCCTCTCAAGACGACACTTCTTTAAGCGAAATTCAGGGGTCTTGACTGTTCAACCCTCCGTCCATTTTGAAGTTCCCCCCCTCGTAATTTTATTGTAGCTATGGAACATCGCCGTGTTTCATAGGATCATAGGTAAACCATCGAACTAAATGGGCCATATCTTACATGCTGGATTAGATTACCAGAGAGTATATCCCATCTACAAATAGATCCCAAGAAATATCTCCATGAGTTTCCCAATAAACCCATATCGGGGTTTCCTGAAATGGGGGGACCCCCAAATCATCCATTTATAGTAGGGTTTTTGATTATAAACCATCCATTTTGGGATACCTGCATGGAAAAGCCCATATGTCGCTGGCCACAACTGGTCTTCCAGTTTGGGAAACTTGCCTCGTTGGAACTCCCCGGCCAAGGTAAAGTGCTGAGTTTCCTCATGGCGCAGCCTTTGAAGGTGGCTATGGGTGGGGGAGGCTTCAGCATTGAGCCATGGATGTCATCTTCAAAGGCTGCCCGATGGTCAAGGCAGAAATGTGGATGATAGTCAATGATAGTCAACAACAAGATTTTGTTTTTTTCCGGAAAATCCCGATTTCTTTGATTCTGGATGATAGTACAACATTTTTTCCAGGAAGATAAAAATTCTTTTCTTCGAAGTGCTTTTTCTTGGAAGAGTACACAATAGTGGCACCTTTGTGGCGTTGAAAAGTATCCTCATTTTTCAAGATCGTGGCGGCAGACCTAAAAAAAAACACATGGCTTCGGGCAGTGCTAGGTGCTAGGCATCTCCGGTGGGACTGGGACTGAGTTCTTTGGAGCTAGGAGTATCCATATTCCCTATAAAACGGGGAGCCAGTTGGAGCTACGAATTGGTTTTTTCCCAACCAGCCGCGACAGTATGTGACACATCCAAACAACTGATTGTCCCGCTGATGACTGTGATTTTCCATGAGCATTTTTCGCATTGGATTAATAATCCATTTATGAGCAGGACAACCTGAGTTCCGGAGGTCCGCTGAAGAATTTTGGCTTCTTGACATTTACAATACAACGATCGCTGGGATGATCCTCCAATTATCTCCAACTTTCGTAGAAATCCCGAACGACTTCGCCCCGGAAACGCGTCGTCCAGTTATGGCTCTTCAAAAAGCGCGCGCAGATCGCCAAGCTCTGGCCCCATTGCGAGATGTCGCAGGCCGGACGAATTCGACGAATCCATGGTCATATGGGCCGCACATGGAAGCGGTCATGTGGGTAAAACAATGTCAATTTTCATATTGGGTAATGATTAGGTCAGTTGGTTGAATATATTGTCTATATGGGATCTATATGGACTTCCATAGAAAATTCCCGTGGGTGATTTACCCTCTGGTAAACGTTAACTTAAAAAGCTATTGAAAATGGCAATTTGTAGTGAGTTTACCCATTGAAAATTGTGATTTTCCATAGTTATGTTAGTTTACCAGAGGGTACCGCCCATGACTGGGAATGGTATATATATATACACCACCTATAAAAATGGTGATGACTGGGGGATGGTAAACATGACATTGTTTTGTCCACATTAATGGAGATATAGTAGATTGATATTATGAGATATGGGGATATGAAATTTGCGATAATTGGAAAATCATCGAGATACCACTTATTATCATGGATATAACATAGATTATGAAAAATAAAAATAATGATAATCATAGTGACAATTTGAATTTTGAAATAACAATTTTTCATTGGAATATAACATGGATTATGGCCATATAAATTTGGCCAAGTGACCCTCAAAGATCGATGCAAAACAGTTGGACACCTGGAAATGCACAAATGGATTCAGCGTGAGCGGCTGCTGATTTCAAAGGTTGGAGCATCGGAATTTTCCAGATTGAAGACATCTTTTTTCACTTGACTCCCAGCTGAGTATAGCTGACCTTTTACCCTCTGGTAAACATACAAAAAACTATGGAAAATCACCATTTTCAATGGGAAAACTCACTATAAATGGCCATTTTCAATAGCTTTTTGTTAACGTTTACCAGAGGGTAAAGCTTGGTTTTCACAGCATCCCTCCCTTGGTCAACGTCATGTCCAGGTCATGTCTAGCGGCTCCCTTTTGACGGTGGCCGGCTATTTTTTGGATGCTTGGCGCGCGCTTTATGGGTGACCTACTGTTGGTAAGGGGAACCAACGGGAATGGGAGATGGCCTTCTCATATTTTAAATGGGGGTATAATATGAATGATTCATTGATTCATTGATTTCAACCAACATCATCATATGGTGAAAAAACTCGGTGAATCTTGGATGGGTCCTTTATTCCATATGAAGACTTATTAATCTCTTGCGAATTTCCATGGGAATCTTTTGTCCAGACCAGACTCACCAGTTGAAAGTCTCTAGATTTCTCTAGATTTTATAGGATATCTACGATCAATTAAAATCATTGGTTTCCATTCCAAGGATTCGGATGAAGTTTCCATGAATGGGGGTACCCCCATAGCTGGATGGTTGATAAATCATGGAGAATCCTACTAAATTAATGATATAAATGCATGATGACTGGGGGTACCAAGTAGAATCACTGGATGGTTTCATGGAAAATCCAAATCCAATAGCTGGATGACGGGGAGTACCCCCATTTTAGGAAGCCACCATTTGGGATGATAAGCTTCCTTTCCTTACGACTCGATATTGTGCAGCTGCAGCACAGCAAAAATTGGGGTATCTTCCGGGTATCTGTAACTGGGATGCTCGGGATGCAACTGGTGATTTAGAATCCTGGATACTCCAGATTGTGATAATCATCTGACAATCCCTTTCTTTGGGAATCCAAAGAAAGGGATCCAATTTTTTTTCACTTCATCATTGGTTGAGTTTGGGGAGGCTTGGTGTGAATGTTCCAAGTTTGCTTTGGGAAAAAAAACTGCGGTCGTGCCGGTCGCAGGTTGTCTTAAAATGATGCTCCAGTAATATTCATGGGAATCGTCAGAGGAGATTGAAGATTCTGGCGTAGAATTTGGGTACTGATGGGTAGCCTATTTTGATGCGACATTTTGAGTACAACATGTACAACCCAATGGACCGAAAACAGCTGCCATTTTCCATGCCATTTTCCAGTGAGACAAACAACACAGACAGGCAGTTGTTACAAAGCACATTGTGATTGCGATGGCTGGTCATGATTACCTAGACCCCAATTTCTGAATCTTTGAATCCTCATTTATCCTTCGCGCAATGGCCAGTCAAGCTTCTGGCGACGGAAGGGAGGCGCTGGCTGATTCAAACTTGGTGGACATTGAGGTAGTGAGCTTGCAAGGAAAGAGATTGAAACTTGATGTGCCTGCGCTGTGGCTCCTGGAAATTTTAACATGAGATAACATATCACATATACATATATATGTATATATATAATATACACATATATATATAATATATACATATGTATATATATATATATATACAGGTTATTGATCAATACATGGGCCATTTCCATGGCTACGTTGATTTGAGATGGTTTTCCGGCTGTCTAGGAGTATACTTTATACGATGCGTCTCACATTGCATGTATGTGATGTTTGCCATGGTTCCCCAGGAATTACTCTCAAATGGCCCCCAATGCAAATAGACCAAGCATGGACGGTGCTTGTAGAGGATTGGATGGGTGCTGTCAACTACAGTGGAGGATCCAGTTGTACAGATCTACTTTTGACAATGACACCAGAGAATTGTTGACTTAACTTCCATGCCCAGTGCCCCAAATGATAAAACACTTTTGAGATTTGTTGCAGGTAGATAGTTGCCACTCCGAGGTAGAAGATTCCATGACTGGCCGCCAGCTGCGCAAGATGATCAGTGCAGAGTTGCCTTCCAAGGACGGGTCACGCATCTTGCTGCAGCACTGGTCCTCGCCACTGAGGTTGGACCAGACCCTGAGGCAGCAAGGGATCGTCGGAGAAGGCGTCACTTTATCCTATGTTTGGATTCCTGTCAACGTCTATGCCGCCTGGCAGTATCTGCAAGGAGAGCCGGTGGAGGATCAGGAAGAACCCCTGGAAGGACTTACGCAGATTGAAGTACTTTTTGAACGAATTACACGAGTGGATGAGCTGCTGCAGAACTTACCAGATAGCCTTGAACACCTGACGTTGAGAATCAGACGGCGACGGCGCCTGACGGATGTCAACTTTCCGAGCGGACTCAAGAGTTTGACTGTATTCGACTCAAGCTTGTATCAAGTGAGCTTGCCACCGGGTTTGCAAAGCTTGGCCTTCATCCGAAGCATGAATGGTGTTACCTTGCCAGCAAGTCTGCAGAACTTGACCTTTGGCGGTCGTTTCAACGAGAGGTTGGATGGCGTTGCTTTGCCAACAGGTCTACAAACCTTGACCTTCGGCAGTGGCTTCAACCAAAGCTTGAATGGTGTGACTCTGCCAGCAGGTCTGAAACAAATGACTTTTGGCTACTGTTTCAACATTAGCTTGAACGGGGTGAACTTTCCAGCAGGTTTGCAGAGTCTAAAGTTTGGCTATCAGTTTGATCAGAACTTGGATGGCGTAATTTTGCCAGAAGGTCTCCAAACCTTGACGTTCGGTGAAATGTTCAATCAGAGAATGGACAGCAGGACCTTGCCAGCAAGCTTGCAGAGTTTGGCGTTTGGTGGAATGTTCAACCAGAGCTTGTGTGATGAGACTTTGCCAAGAGGTTTGCAACAATTGATTTTTCAGGACAGCTCCAGGCAGACAATGCCACCGAGTCTTTATTTAACTCGCGAAGAAATGAGGGTGACTTTGCCAGCGGGACTCCAAAGCTTGACTATTGGTGGCAACTTTAAGAGCTTAGTTGGCATGATTTTGCCAGGACTCAAACACTTGTCGCTAAGAGGAAGCTCAGATAGCATGACTTTGCCAGGAAGTCTCCAGAGCTTGACTTTCGACTTTAACCAGCCGCTGGTTGGCATGACTTTGCCATCGGGTTTGCAAAGTTTGACCTTTGGCTCCAGGTTCAACCAAAGTTTAGGTGACGTGACTTTGCCCAAAGGTCTGGAAACCTTGACTTTTGGCGCGGACTTCAACCAAAGCATAGATGGCATCACTCTACCAGCAGGTCTGCAAACCTTGACTTTTGGCGAGGACTTCAACCAAAGCCTAGATGGCGTCACTCTACCAGCAGGTCTGCAAACCTTGACTTTTGGCGAGGACTTCAACCAAAGCCTAGATGGCGTCACTCTACCAGCAGGTCTGCGACACTTGACTCTTGGGCGCAACTTTGACCAGAGCTTCGCTCGGGTGACTCTTCCACCCCATTTGCAAAGCTTGACAGTGGGTGGAAATCTGGACCTTAGCTTCGATGGCTTGACGCTGCCATCAGGTCTCCAACGTCTGACTCGGCGGGAGTTTGATTTTTTGTACTACCACAAATTAGATCGTGTCACTGTGCCAACCGGTTTGCAGGAACTGTGTTGGGAAGGGTTGCTTGTCAGTGCGAGACACTGATTGCCAGAGAGTGGAAAAAATCGTATGATGTGGGTATGGGTCAATACCTATAGATACATTTTTAGTGGGATGAACATCCATTTACCAGCTATTTTGGGGTTCACTAGGTACCAGGGTTTTGACCCATCCCCATGTAAGTATGGCTCAAAGTTCCTGGGTTCGTTAAAGACGAATCTATGGAGGGAGCTGTTCGTAGCTATGGGTATCCATATTCCCTATTGAAGGGGGCACCAAGAAACTGCTTCAAGAGCTTCCCAGCATTTGAATATAGAAACACCCAAACAGAGAGACACAATCTGGTTGGTGGTTTGGAACATGAATTTTATTTTTCCGTATATTGGGAATGCCATCATCCCGAGTGACGAACTCATATTTTTCAGAGGGGTAGGTATACCACCAACCAGCCATATTTTCGTTCTTCTTGGTGATTGCAACAACCAATTTTCTGGGTGAAAGGTACACCAATTGTTTTCGCGGCGCGTTCATGAGTTGCCAAAACATTCGAAACACCTGTGATTTTTCGTTTTTTTTGTGCCCAATTAAAAGATGTAATGTGGGAATGTGGGTAAACCAATAATAACCCACCCAGTTGGGAATGGTTTATAATACCTATATATTTATGGTGATGACTGGGGATGGTTTATGACATTGTCTTACCCACATTACAGAGATAGTTCATTTGTACTTTGGCACTTGGTGAACCTTCCTTGGTGGCTGAGGAGCACCAAGGCTACCACACCGTGTCGGATTATTTCCTGCAAAACGATCCTGAGCCTGTCGCTTGGAGAACTCGTTGAGACTGGAAGCCCTATCAGATCTATCAGAATCATCCCCTGGGCGGCCTTTTCGGGAAGTTAGTCCCACCAAGATCAGCTGCGTTTCAGCTGACTGAATGATTCTTAATGATCAAAACACCATCTATCTATATTTGTATCAATATGTATATATACGTATTATATATATAATTATAATATATATATATATATATATACATACATAGTTTTTTTCTTAAACATGTTTCCCGAATGCGTAGCAAGGGTTCCCGTTTCACTCTGGGGGTCTGGGGGTTGAGGGTGTGTTCGCTCGACGTTGCCGAACCGTCCGCAACCGTCCGCAACCGTTCGCAACCGTCCGCAACCGTCCGCGGTAGGTCCATATGGCCGTGCCTATGGGAAGTTCTGCAGAGGTGGTCATTTTTGGAGTTTTCAGACGTGTCGTTGCTTCGTTTCGCGTGGCAGGCGTGGCACTTCGTGACATTCAGACGTGTTCTGCAACGTGGCGAAAGTCGTTTGGCGTGGCAGGCGCAATACTTTTGTGACGTTTTCAGAAGATATGTTGCAGTTTTCGTGGCAGGCGCAGCACTTTGGACGTGTCCATCGTCATTTTTCGTGGCAGGCGCAGCACTTTAGACGTGTCCTGTTGCGTGTTTTTTGTAAATCGCATTGGCAGGGCTGCGTCAAGTGGTGACAAGGTGCAAATTCCGTGGCAGGCGTGGCATTTTCTGACATGTGCTGAAAATTGACGGAAGCCTCGCACGAAACATTGATTTTGAGGTTGCAAATTTTCAGGTTCTAAGGAAAACTCGTAGGAAAACGTCGATTTTGAAGCTACAAAGTGTGAAAATTGGAGGAAGTCTCGTACGAAATGCTCGTTGTGTTGCTCCCATGTGTCTCGTCTCGCGTCTCTGGTTTTCCCGTGGCCTCGCCGTGTCTATGGGGGAAGCTGCAAAAATTGTCTTTTTGTCATGATGCCAACTCTGAAAATTGCCGGAAGTCTCGTACGAAATGCTCGTTTTTTTGCACCCACGTGTCTCATCTCGAGTCGCTGGTTTTCCTGTGGCGTCGCCGTGTCTATGGGGGAAGCTGGAAAACCTGTCCTTTTGTCATGTTGCCAACTGTGAAAATTACCGGAAATCTCGTACGAAATGCTGGTTTTTCTGCATCCACGTGTCTTGTCTCGAGTCGCTGGTTTTCCTGTGGCGTCGCTGTGTCTTTGGGGGAAGCTGGAAAACATGTCCTTTTCAAAGGTTTCCATGCATGTTGTCATGTCGTTTTGCGTGGCAGGCGTGGCACTTTGTGACATTCCAACCTGTTTGGTAACGTGTGGAAAATATCAAAATTGGAGGAAGTCTCGCACGAAATGCTCGTTTTTTTGCACCCGCGTGTCTCGTCTCGAGTCTCTGGTTTTCCTGTGGCGTCGCCGTGTCTATGGGGGAAGCTCCGCACTCCACACTCTACACTTTACACTCCACACTCCACAATTTACACTTTAGACCCCAAACTCTACACTTTACACTCCACACTTTACACTTTGCACTTTACACTCCTCACTCCTCACCTGAGACTTTACACTCCACACTGCACACTCCACACTTTACACTACACTCTACACTTTCCACTCCTCACTCCTCACTCTACACTTTACACTCAACACTCCACACTCTACACTTTACACTCCACACTCCACACTTTACACTACACACTCCTTACTTTACACTCCACACTTCACACTCCACACTTTCCACTCCACACTCCACACTCTACACTCCTCACTCCACACTTTACACTCCTCACTCTACACTTTACACTCGTCACTTTACACTCTACACTCCACACTCTACACTTAACACTCTACACTTTACACTCTACACTCCACACTCTACACTTTACACACTACACTCCACACTTTACATTTTACACTCCACACTACACACCACACTCTACACTTTCCACTCCACATTTCGCACTCCACACTTTACACTCCACACTCCACACTTTACACTTTACACTCCTCACTCCACACTCTACACTCCACACTTCTCACTTTACACACCACACTCCACACTACACTTTCCACTCCACACTCCGCACTCCACACTCCACACTTTACTGTGTACTTCACACTGCACACTTTATACTTTGCACTCCTCACTCCACACTCCACACTTTGCACTCCTCACTTTACACTGTACACTCCACACTCTACACACCACACTCTACACTTTCCACTCCAGACTCCACACTCTACACTTTACGCTCCTCACTCCACACTTTACACTCCACACTTTACACTCCACACTCCACACTTTACACTCCTCACTCCACACTTTACACTCCACACTCCACACTTTACACTCCTCGCTCCACACTCCACACTTTACACTCCACACTTTACACTCCACACTCCACACTTTACACTCCTCACTCCACACTCCACACTTTACACTCCACACTCCACACTTTACACTCCACACTCCACACTTTACACGCCACACTTTACACTCCACACTCTACGCTTTACACTCTACACTATACACTCTACACTCCACACTTTACACTTTACACTCCACGCTTTCCACTTTACACTCCTCACTCCACACTTTACACTCCACACTCCACACTTTACACTCCATACTCCACACTCTACACTTTATACTCCGCATTCTACACTTTACACACTCTACACTCCCCACTCCACACTTTACACTCCACACTCCTTACTCCACACTCCACACTCCACACTCTACACTTTCCACCCCACACTGCAGACAGGTAACAAAGGAAACATATACAAGACTGTTCAAATATAAACTATTGCAGAAAGGTATTGTGCGTGACTGCATAACCATGTGTTTTGACATCTGTACCATTAACATACGTGTGAGCATTCGGGTTCGTGGGCTTCATCTTGTTTTTTTCAACACAAGAATTTCCACAACATTCTCCGACTTCTGAGGTCTTGCACAAGATCACTTGTCCCACCCTGATTTTGGGCGCCAAAGACGACCCGTTAATGATGCCGGTGCCGCGCCCAACCATCGCGCGCAACAAGCGGCTGCTCTTGGTGGAGACGGAAGATGGCGGACACATGGGCTGGGTGACGTGGCGAGAAAAACCTCCTGGGACCCATGGGACAAATAGAACATACGGTGGATGGTTGCGAAATCCCGCAGCAGTTGATCGGTGATTTATCCCATTGTTGATAGGGTTTCAACCATCCAAAATGGTGCAAGATTTCTTTCATCCACAGTATATCTGCATAGAGAATGGAACATATTCCAACCAGTGGGAAAAGGACATCTATGGTCATCTAAAATGCATTTCTTGAATCCCAGCTCGGACTGTAGATATCCTTTTCCATCCTTTTCCCAATGATTGGGTGGTTAAAAGAGAGGAGGAGCGAGCCTCATTTTTTTGCCGGTACATGATGACAATTGATATACCCAATTGGCCTGTTCATTCTTTTTTGCCCAAAGGGTGTTAACTTCCTAACATAAGTTTCCGATGATTTGTTTCCAGAAATCACTTTAAAACCCGAAAATAACACCACCCAGCTTTTCTGATTGGTTGTTGGTCAAATTCCAAATTTATCATTTATATAGATCCTAAATCATCCAGAATTCTTAGCTGGCGAAATCCTATAAAGATCACCAAAGAATTCGCAAATTCATCCAAAGATTCAGCCATTCTTCACCATCCTGTGCCATCCTTTACCATTTTTCACACCATTTTCATGTGTTTCACCATTTGTTTCCCAAGTTGTTTGGTGTTCACCATGGTTTTCACGGTTTTTTCACCATTTTTCCCACCGTTCTCTGGCCATTTTTCCCCGTAAACCCCGCCATGTCCTGCCGGCGCGCGCCCGATCATCGAGGCCGGCAAGGGCGCCCTGGGTCCCCAGATCTTCGGTGCTTCCTGGGCAGACGGCCTGGCGGCACGTGGCCTGGCCAAAGAAATGTTGGAACTCATTTTTTAATATTGGGTACCCTCTGGTAAACGAACATAGCTAACTGGAAAATCACAATTTTAATAGGTAAAACATCTATAAATTGTCCATTTTCCATAGCTATGTTAAATTACCAGATGGTAATGATTAGGTCAGTTGGTTGAATATATTGTCTATATATGGGATCTATATATGGATTTCCATTGAAAATTCCCTTTGGGTGATAAAAACCCTCTGGTAAACTAAGAGTTTGCTATTGAAAATCGTGATTTATAGTGGATTTATCCATTAAAAATGGTGATTTTCCACAGTTATGTGGCTGTTTACCAGAGGGTAACATCTATGGAAATAAATCTATGGACATATTATGGACATATGAATAGGATTTCCCATATGAAATAATCATTCCATAGATTATGAAATATTTTTGGAACTATGAATTCTATGGAAATATGATCTATGGAAATAGTGGATCTATACACATGTATGATTCCAAAATCATCTATGGTGGCTATGGAAACATATATAAACTTGTATGATCCGATGGAGATGTTTAAGGAACATGATTTATGGATAGATTAATGATGGCATCCTCCAACATTTGGATGATTATGAATTATATCTATATAATTCTATATATGGATATCTATGTTTTTTGGGCAATGATGAGAAGATGGTGGCATCCTCCAAAGGATTTTTTTTCGATGATCTTTTGGGAAATTCGATGAAGTTCTTGGCATCTTGGATGTGGATGACTTCGGGGGTTGAACATGGTGGATCTTTTCAGGGCGAAACCGCACCACATTTGTTGCAAAATGTGGGGTTTCCCACATTTTGCATAGGTTGTAGCCCCAATTCTAGGATTCCAGTATGTCATAGCGCATGTTCAACAACAACTTTAGGATCTTGAGGCTTGCTACAATTGATCACTTCCATTTTGCTTGGTGTTTTACGTCTCATTTCTTCCGGCTCCACAAAAACGTTCCAACCCATGGTTTTCACTCACGATCCGGTCATCAAACAATGGATGATTTCCATGATATCCTCTGGTAAACAGCCAAATAACTATGGAAAATCACCATCTTTAATGGGTAAATCAACTATTTTCATGGCCATTTTCAATAGCTATTTTGACATAACCAGAGGGTAACACCTCCATGATAGGGATGTTCCAAGGCAACCTTTGATCATCGCTGGGTTAAAAAATCACAGCTGCGAGGTTTCTTGACCTTTCACGCCAAGCGACCCCTGGCAGCGACGATTTCAGTGCCGCCGCCGGACACGTCCTTGGCTTCCGCGATGGACGTGCCACGGTCACGCCTGTACCCTGGTCCTGCAGACAGGTTTGTTGTTTAAATGGGTTTACTAGTGTAAGTATTGGGAGAACCCCAATTTATGGGTTTACCAGGAAAACAACTACTCAACTACTTGGACTGTATAACTTAGAAATGGATTCAGTATTGAGAAAACTATGGGTTTATCACGATTTTCTCAATGTTTTTTTTTCCAATCCCTCAAAAGGCGAAAGTGGATAGTCAGTGGTATATTCCATGTTCGGATCCCAAATCAGTGCGATTCGGATGTGGAGTTGCCATCCAGTTCCTTCTTCCATTTATTACTACATACATCCTGGGAAAATCCCAGTTGGCCAGTTAGCTCAAGAGTCAAAACTATAGAAACCACGTGAATCTTTGATTGCTGGCCTTTCCGGGTGCTCATCGAAAGCTTAAGCGCTCACCGATTTCTTCTGGTTCTACAAACGGTGGTAGAATTTCTGGTGTTTGGTGAGTTTGATCAATCCGATTCCCCCGAAAAAACTCACCCCCCCTATGAAAATAAACACCGCTATGGTAGTTTTTATTATGAATGGGTGGTATTTATTATTAGGGAACCCTATGAATAAATTTTAAACCATCATAATAAAAACTAGTTTGTTCGATTTCAAAATCAATTAATTTTCCTTATATAACGCAATTAAAATATTGCCAAAAATTGGTTTTCGAAGCGGGCCCTAGTAATAAATTAAAAGCAGCCCTAATATAAAAAAAAACATCGGACGGACCCTAATAATAAACACCCCGGGGTTAACTAGTTTTTATTATATATTAGGGGGCAAAACCCACAAATGGTAGCTTTATTTTTAAATTGTTTTCTAACGGGGATCAATTAAAAGTCAAGTTGGCCAACCTGAAATTTTCCAAACTGGGAGATGGACCCTAGTTTTTAGTATCTGGGGGACGTTTAGTAATAGGGGGAAAGGATTAAATCCCAGAGTCCAAAGTTATCAACCCTCATCAACCCTCAACAATTGGACGGTTTCAGATCCAAAATGACCAGCTTTTCTTTGTGGCTCCAGTTTTCGCGTTGACCCACGGTGATGAGGTGAATCATTGGCGGTGGACCAACCCGCAATGACGGAGATCAAAAGATTCTGACCCGGGCGGGTCAGGGTGGATCAGAGGCTTCAGCCTACCCCCAAATGGATGGTTTATATATACCCTCTGGTAAACTAACATAGCTATTGAACATGACCATTTATAGTGGATTTTCCCATTCAAAATGGTGGATCTTTCCATAGTTATGTGGCTGTTTACCAGAGGGTAATGGAACATCCTATTTACAATGGATGATTTAGGATGGAACATCCGGGCTACCCCTGTGGCTTTTTAGGACACCTTCATTTGGCCTCTGGGTATCATTGCCAGGTGGAGAATCCCCGAATCCCTGATGTTTTTTATATGCTCCATGATTTGAAATCAGCCATTTCCATGGCGGATTTCCAATTGCAATGTTGGATTACCAGAGAGTGACCAAGAAAACTGGGGAAAAACATGGGGATACAATCCCCATATGCGGCAGATCGTTGGATAGCCAGCCCACTTCAGCGACGCCACCGATAGATGGCATGGATTCAGCCTTTCTTGTTGTGGTTGTTGGTGCCCTCATGAGCCCTATCTCCCGGAATTGGTTGAAATTGGAGAATTTGCAGGACATATGATTTGCTGGTAAACACCATTGGTTGGTGTACATTGCCCCTTAGGCCCTTAGATGAATCAATCCACTCAATTGATCGATGAATATGGTAGGTACCATGAATGAACTCCGAACAATCATTACTAGATCTTTTGGGACGCCCGGAACATTAAACAAATTAACAACCTGGAGGTTTATCAATCAAGAGTCTCTGGGAAACAACTCTGGTTGGTGTTTTTTGAAAGATCAAAGCCAACACAAAAAGACTCAGCTACAGCCTTTTAGAAACCATAGAATGGGTTGGCGGTTTCTTTCCCAGGATGATGTACTGTACAGTGGCTGATTATTTTCTGGATGGTTCAAACAAAAAAACAGATACCAGCTAGATAACCATGGTTGGTTTTTACCCATTTAGGATAGCAAATGGCGTGAGGAAATGGGTACTGCCTCATGAACCACGTCCTAACTGGCAGTCCAATATGAAGGCAGTTGTTTGATGGAGATATCATGTCATTGGCGTTTCGGGGATGTGTAGCGGCTTCAACCGTAAGCATGCCCTTTGTCCAATTCTGGTGATCAACCCCAAATCACTTCTTTGGTTCCTTGAATTGGTTTAAAAGAGAAAAACACAATTGTAACCTTGCAGTTTGAACTAAAAATATCTGGCCTCCTATAAAACGTCCCGCAGAATCAGTGTATTAAAATGAGTGATTCTTGGCGAATATCTCAACTTTTTGATGGCTTAATCCCAGTTAATCCTCCAAATATCTTTTGCAAATCATCCATTGACTGCTGTGGTCTTGAGAGACGGCTCCTGCTGTGGCTCCTAGCTGTTAGCTGTGGGGGGATTGGCCGCTGGGGAAGTGGCAGGCTGGGTTCCAGTTTTCCTGTCCCTGTTCCCTGAAGCCAATACTGGAAACCTACCAAGCTGATATGGATGAAGAGAACACGTGCCCCCTCCAGTTGGGTGGTATGAACCGTGGCAAAGCAGTTTTTCCCCAGCCAACCATGGGTTGTTCCTGTTTCTCTTTCACCAAGACCCACTGCATTCAACCAATCACTGCCTTTAATATATGTTTTATATACAATTTTTGGAGTAAGCGGCTAAGTTTACCTGCAACTTAGCTCCTCTTTCTAGTAAGACCGAGAGAATGTCTAGATTCGTTGTGATTTTTCGGGCGCACCTACCCTCTAATATATATATATATACACATAATCAGCTCCCTCTGGCGTGCTGGAAACTCCTCAGCAATACTTCGAGGATTTTCCCAACAGGAAAATCCCACATTTTCCTCTATGTTCCCCTGGTTTTACCCCATTCTACTGCCCTTGTTCTGTGACTGATGACACCATTTTCCCCAGGCGGCACCACGACGCTGCGTAGCCGCCGCAATGTCGCCCGAGCCATACATGTGCGATCCGGTCTTTGAGGCACCGGGCGGACTAGAAAGTGGTTGGAGGCTTCAAAAAATCCAGCAGACATGGGAAGGTTTGATATTGTTGGTGCACTACCCAAGTTGCCATTCTTTTTCCAAGTCTGATTCTGGTTCTATAAATACTTCCCAGTTTTTTGGGGGGTCGAAGATTTGAAGATCCCTGAAGTGGTAGTAAACGCCAAGGCCGGTGACGCGGATAGAGGAAATACTCCAGGAACTCAGGAAGAATGGGGAGATATAGCCTGGTTATTAGGCTATTTCTTTGCCCAGGCTTGATGCTTAAAACATCTTAAAATCCCGATTCCTGATAGTTACCAATCAAGCCACATTTTTGTTGGTAAATGTGCATCCCAGGAGTCGTAAGTCGGTTGTATCCAATATATATATATATATATATATATAATATACATATATATGGTACCCCCCCCCCAAGACCTACCAATTTCACAAAAGTACTGGTATTTACAGTAAAATTTGCTATTTTTGGTATGTAATTTTGGATTCCGGGATTTGGGGGATGTTATATAGTGTATATATACATATATATATAGAGGATTCAAGCCTTGAATCCAACCCTTGTGGGAATCTTGGATCTTGGATCTTGAATCTTGCAAAGAATGCATTCAGAATGCATTCTTTCGGCAGGATTCAAGATTCAAGATTCAAGATTTCTGAGGACTCTTTGGAGCAAATCTTGAATCCACCCCCTGGATTCAAGATTCAAGATTCAATATTTCTGGGGACTCTTTGGGGCAAATCTTGAATCCGGATTCAAGATTCAAGATTCAAGATTTCTGGGGACTCTTTGGGGCAAATCTTGAATCCGGATTCAAGATTCAAGATTCAAGATTTCTGGGACTCTTTGGGGCAAATCTTGAATCCAGGATTCAAGATTCAAGATTCAAGATTTCTGGGGACTCTTTGGGGCAAATCTTGAATCCGGATTCAAGATTCAAGATTCAAGATTCCTGAGGACTCTTTCCAGCAAATCTTGAATCCAGGATTCAAGATTCAAGATTTCTGGGGACTCTTTGGGGCAAATCTTGAATCCGGATTCAAGATTCAAGATTCAAGATTTCTGGGGACTCTTTGGGGCAAATCTTGAATCTTGAATCCTGGATTCAAGATTTGCTGGAAAGAGTCCTCAGGAGTGGGAACACCAAGAAGCCAATTGAGTGGGAACAATGGTGTGGTATTGTTCAGCGAGGGAAGCCGGAGTCGTTGGTCTTGCATCGTCTGAAGCCTGTTCGTACAGATGCACGTGCACCGGGACCCGGTGCAGCACGCAAAGTCGAGTGGCGTCCCCTTGCTGACCATTGGCTGAAGAACAGAAAGGTTGTGTTGCACACGGATTCTGCCAAGAGTTATAGGGTCCGTGTTGCAGGGGTGTTGCACGATCGAGTAGTCCATTGCAAAAAACGCGTGAAAGCACGCGGCAAATGGAAATGGCAGGCGCCACGATATGTCAAAGTAGTGGAACACAAGCTTCCAGGCACAAATAAAAACATCCGTGTGAAAGCTGGCACCCAAGTGATTGACCGCTGCTGGCGTTTCTTAAAGGAGCGTCTCAGCCTTAATCAAAATACAAAAGCCGGGTCGAGCCTGCTGAGATCCAAACTCCGATCTGCTCAGTATCAGTATTGGTACAAAAATGCAGACATGTGGGTGGCGACCGGATCTCTGTGCCAATGGGCCGCAAAGCGCCTTATGGGCAAGAAGTGAGCCGTAGAGCTTTGGGGAAAAATGCATTGCAATATATTGCTTCGGGTCTTCCGTGTTCACAATCGTGCCGAAAGCTTCTTTTTGATCCAATTTCTGCCAGGTCTTCTTCATGGAATATGTCTCGATTGGTGTCTCGTTGTTCCTCGGTCCAATTGAGTTATGCGCTATGATAATGCTACACATGGGCTCATGCATCCAAAGCAATACATTCTCTGTCCTTTCCCACCCACCCAGGTGCTCTCAGTGTTCATGCACCTACGTGGTCAGTTTCTTCACATGTGCTATGCTACAGCTACATATGTGGGCAAGATGTGTCCAGGTGCATGCGTACAAGCTACTTTCCTGATGCAGTGTTACAATAGGTGAGAAGATAAGGAGAAAGACGAGGCAGTCAAGGACATATCTGGTACACAAAATGTCTCGTGTCTTGTTTGTCCTTTCCCACCCACCCAGGTGCTCTCAGTGTTCATGCACCTACGTGGTCAGTTTCTTCACATGTGCTATGCTACAGCTACATATGTGGGCGAGATGTGTCCAGGTGCATGCGCATAAGCTACTTTCCTGATGCAGTGTTGCGATAGGTGAGAAGATGAGAAGAAAGACAAGGCAGCCAAGGACATATCTGGTACACAAAATGTCTAGTGTATTGCTTGTCCTTTCCCACCCACCCAGGTGCTTTCAGTGTTCATGCACCTACGTGGTCAGTTTCTTCACATGTGCTATGCTACAGCTACATATGTGGGCGAGATGTGTCCAGGTGCATGCGCACAAGCTACTTTCCTGATGCAGTGTTGCAATAGGTGAGAAGATGAGAAGAAAGACAAGGCAGCCCAGGACATACCTAATACAAAAAATGTAGGTCTTGGGGGGGGGGGGTAGCATATATATATATGATATATATGAATATATATATTTGATAATATATATAATTATATATATATGATAATATATATATAATATACATATATATATATGATTTATATGAATATATATATGATAATATATATATATGATTATTTATATGATAATATATATATGATAATATATATATATAAATTGTATTAATACATATGATATAATATGTGTATATATATAATAATAATAGTAATAATTATAAGTAATAATAATAATAATAATAAAAGTAATAAAAATAGTAATAATAGTAGTAATAATAATAATATATATATATATTATTCCATCCATGGTTGCAAGCCAGTTATATTAGTGGGATATATCTCCCAGTTATACACCTACCCGAAACGCCTGTTACACCCTCCAAGGCCTTGGGGATCAACCACGCCCGTGCGCAGCTAGGCGCGATCCAACATAGCGAGCATGGCCAATTCATCGTTGACTTACCCTCTGGTAAACAGCCACATAACTATGGAAGAAACACCATTTTTAATGGGAACGCTCACTATTTCAATGGCCATGGCTTCAATAGCTATTTTGACATAACCAGAGGGTACCATGACTAGTTGACTTACCTACAAACAAAAATCTACGAAAATGAGGATGATTGATGATTGATGATTGATGATGATGATGATTATGATGATGATGATCGATGATGATGATGATGCTGATGATGATGATGACGATGATGACGATGATGATGATTTTCCAGTTTGCGAAGTGCTAGGTTTGAGGGTAACACTGATGTAACCAGCAAAAAATATGCAGATTCTGTGCAATCATTTGACTTGTGACATTTGGAATCTTGAATTCATTGGACCCACTCAGAGGTGTATACAGACTGAGCATGTCTTGGGAACATGGTTCGGAGAGCCGTTCTTTGTTTTCTTCTCGGGTTAAAAGTCCGGAAAAGTGACATGGACCCCCTCAAAAACAGGGTTTGGAAGACGATGTCAATGTTAAAATGTGTTGAACATTGCAATTTTGGGTTCCATATGGTTCCATGAAGGTTGTCAGGGGACTTCCCATGACTTCGCCAAGGATCCAGTAGTCTTTACGTGAACTGAGGAGCAAATTCCGCATGTTGATTGGGGATGATGAGCCTAGCATGGTCAGCGTATATTCTCCTTCAAACAACATGATTCCTTGGGTGTGCGGGTATTGAAAGGGCTACTTCCATGGTTACAACTTGGGTCGAAGTTGGAACACACCCAAAAACAAAATGGAGTTGATGAGTTGCTTCCCACAAGCAGTTCTGACAGCTTACCGTTGAACACTTTCCATCTGGTGCATTTCCAGCTTGGCTCGTGCGACGGAGCGACCAAAAAGCAACGGGGACCCTTTTGGCTCTGATCAGGCGGGGTGGAAATCCATGGGTTAAACGGTTAAACCCTACAAAAACAGTGACATGTGTTTGTGTTACAACATGTTTCACATATCTTGGATAACATGTGTTTGAAATAACATGTAACATATCTTGGATAACAATGGATAACATGTGTTTGAAACAACAACATGTTTTTGAAACCCTGCAAAAAAGTACCCTCTGGTAATTTGTTACATAGCTATTGAAAATGGCCATATAAATAGTGGATTTAGCCATGAAAAATGGTGATTTTCCATGGTTATCTTGTGGATCTTCGGCAACCACAACTTGGCGATTTTTTTCAATGGACGACCCGTGGGACTCGCGGGATCAGATTCTTGGATGCTGCTGCTGATGGCCAATGTATCGTTGACTTACCATGACTAGTTGACTTACCTACGCAAAAAAAACTACGAAAATGATGATGATGATGATTGATGATGATGATGGTGATGATGATGATGATTGATGATGATTGATGATGATTGATGATGATTGATGATTGATGATGATGATTGATGATTGATGATTGATGATTGATTATGATTGATGATTGATGATTGATTATGATTGATGATTGATGATGATTGATGAGGATGATGATGATGATGATGATGCCATCCACAATTGGCGGTTTTGTTGAGCCAATGGACTGTTGACTCAAACTCATCCAATCCCGATTGCAATTTCATGGTTCTCGTCATTAGGATTTGCGTGATCTGTGCGATACAATCACTTGCGATGCTGCAAATTTGATGAATTTTCTGAGATGTTCAGACTTTTTGAACGGTGACACTGCTTATGACAAGTAGTAACAACTGCTGTCTTCATCTATCTCCATTAAAAAAAAACCAAGACTTCAAGACGGTGGTGAAGCACACAGTTTCCTTAAAGGATTGGAAAAGATCCGTCAGGTCCCCTTGAATTTAGGACTGGTATGGTCCCTGAAGCAACCAATGGATGCACCAATAAGGTAATCAAACGTGGTTGGGAAATCTCCGAACGAAACGGTCATTATAATGGGAACATCCTCAAACTTAAAAAAAACCGGGTGATTTTCCATTGCCATGTTTCGTTACCAGAGAATATTTTCCGGTTGTCAACTTGTTTTATACTATTTTTCAAACGGTTGGTTTAAGATGTTTAAAGGAAAATTTACAGGTTTCCTGTAGATTTTGCCTTAAACCAATCCATTGAATTTTATACTCTCAAATCGTTGTTGGATATCATCTAATCTTCTGATGAATCCCATACAGATCATCCAGTATTGGTTACTGTTTCTGAAGGGACTCACAACTGCCCCAAATGATCGGCTGAAGTAACAGTTCAATGGCTTTGCGAACCATTAGCAATTGGATGCAATTGGTATTTTTCAGTTATTTTGGTTCAATGTTGGTTTGGTAAAATTCCCGATAACTAAGAACACTAGACTAGCCAACTAGTCCAAACTTCAGTTCATTTTCAGGCTGATTCACCAACTCAAACTGGACGTCAAACTGCAACGTATCTATTTGGCAGTCAGCTTCGCCATGTGATTTTGCCACATCCCAAATGCTTTCGCAGGCCCATATGGCGGCTGTCTTTGAGGAGCAGGGTCCTGCTTATGTCAGTCGCCTGGCTTGGAACAGTGGCCCTGTGTCGAAGTTGCCATGGCCATAGTGCTACTATCATAGAATTGGATGATGGGAAAATTTACAGGAAACCCCTATATTTGATGGTAAAAACCATGGTTTCCTGTAGATTTTCCCTTAAACCAATCCATTGATACTAGCTGACTCGGGGATTCTCAGTTGAATGGCTATGGCCAGAGCTTCCCGGAAGGAACCACTCCAGTTCCATCATGGTCGGTAAATTCGGATTCGGATTGATGGCGATCCGGACATTTTTGGCGAAACCTATTAGTGGACTTTACATACTTCACACATATGGGTATGGGTCAATACCTATTAATACCATTTTTAGGGGGATGAACATCCATTTACCAGCTATTTTGATGTGAACTACAGGGGTACAAAGTTTTGACACACTGCCATATTGGTGTGTAAAACCCCAGGGTCTGAGTTAGTTGCCATTAATAACCTCGAACCAGCACACCGTTTGTCCAGGGCAATAGGCTTCACCGAAAGCATTTATACATCAGATATTTGGTAAAGGGTCAATCGAGTAAAACCCATGGGGAAATCCCATGGCCATATATTCCAGAAAAATGGATTAATTAGACCCATTATATCCCATCATTATTGATTTGTTTTGATAATCAAAAAACAACAACATAATAGATATATATATATATTATATACATAATCTGGGTAAATTATAGCGACCTCACTATTCTCTCTCACTGGAATCATGGTTTATTTGAGGGAAATCAACCCCAAATGGCCCAACAATTCAGGTGAGTGAATTATTATAATTTACCCAGATATACCCTCTGGTAAACTAACATAACTATTGAAAATCACCATTTTATAGCTGGGTAAATCCACTATTTCTATGGCCATTTTCAACAGTTGCGCAGCTATGTTAAATTCCCAGAGGGTATGGCCCATCAAAGCCATTACAATCCCATAAAATTACAATCCCATAATTTACCCAGATATAATATGAGATAATACTGTAATGGCGGGAAAAAAACCATAAAAAACCCATGGGTTTTTCCGAAGAACTCCTCATCCCGGCCAGGTGTGGGCGATGTTTTCACCTCGCCACCACTGCACCTTGGGCGTTCGGAGGTCGTTCCAAAAAGACCCGGTGGGGACTTGGGTATTTTCAAGTGGCATCATGTTACTTAGTAACTGGTGGATTAATTACCCTCTGGTTATTCAACATAGCCATGGAAAATCACCATTTTTAATAGGTAAACCCAGGTAAACCCAGGTAAACCATCTATAAATGGGCCATTTTCCATGGCTATGTTAAATAACCAGAGGGTACTATAATTTATCAACATTTTATGAAGATTAACTAATAGTATAATTAACTCATATAAAAACTATATACTATTTTTTTGATCAATATTTATCAAGATGTTTGAACATGTTTGAAAGCAAACGGGTAAACATGATGCAAATCGATTTTGCCAACCACGAGATGGTTCGAAGTATAGGAGCCACCAAAGAGATAGGAATTTATAGAATAAATCCTCATCCAGAATGAAAGAACGAGCACTGCAACGCGTATGGCTCTTTTTCAAGACTCGAAACAGCCTAAACGTTTGTGCGGGCCGAAAAAGGCCCTTGAGCGCCGGCCTAAACCATCTCGAGGCTGCACACAGCAACATAAACACAAAATGCATCTAGACTATCATCCTTGGAAAAATGAAGGCTTCATTTGTCCCCGGAAAGAAAGGTCATGTGGCCAGAACATGATCGAATTTTGAAACCGAATTAATCATAAATTACACCCTTTCAAATCTCTTCGTTCAACCAGAGAAAAGCCAAACAAGATGCGCACGCTCTGCTCCCAGAATGCAAAGCTCCAATTGGAGCAGGAATTCTGATCATCACTCAGGAAACAAGCATGGAAAAGCATCTAAAGATCAACATGTCAAGCTCAAATGTCGAAAGGCAAGTTTGGATCTTCTTGCAGCCAAACTTTGAATTCACAAGAAACGCAGCGGCAACGCCCGGTTGGGGGTGCGTACCTGGGCTGAAGCATTGTGAGGATTTTACTTCTCTACCTTTACTTCTCTACCTTTTGGGGAACCCTTATCATCAATGTTTTTAAATGGTATGTCAAAGCGCAGTCATTATTTTTTGGACGTCAAAAGCAGATTGAATTACTGGGAGTCTTTAATCAAATTGTTTGAGGTTGCAAATGAGGTGAACAAAAACATAACCCTTGTAGAAACAGAAGGCCCAGTTTTTGGAGTGGTACTGGGAGAAACTACAACCCGAGAGGCAACAAAATCTTCTCATGATTTTGTGAGAAGGCACGAAAGGGTATGGGCCCCTTCTGGTTGATCCAAAGGCTGCGAGCAGTTGAGTTTGCCTCCGAAATGGCAGGGAACCAAACGATTTGATATGATTTTGTA